CTGGGGGGAGCTATAATCGACCATAATAAAAGTTCTTAGGTACCGTATTTTCACGACCATAAGGCGCACCGTACTAAAAGGCGCACTCTCAGTTATGTGTCCCATTTCTGTATTTAACACACACATAAGGCGCACCGGACTATAGGGCGCGTTTTTTATATACAGGTACATGTCCTCTACTACCTTTAAATACCTCTACTGCGTATTTAAAAATACAGCGGGGGCAAAACTNGGGGGTTGTAGAATCAAGGTGAGGACAGGCTATACCAGGGCTGAGATCCTTTTGAGTGAGCAGATCTCTGCTTAAAATCTCCGAAGACTCTGTGGTGACATCAGCCCTTGTCTGTTGTCTGCTGGGCCCCTGGCAGCGCAGAGCAGAACAGAAACAGACTGAACAAACTGGTGAGAAAGGTTGTCCTAGGCGACACTCTGGACTCAGTGGAGGAAGTGGCTAATAGGAAGGTACTGACCAAACTTAAATCCATCATGGACAACAAAAAAAAGCTGTCACATGTGGACGCACTATATATAATGTATACAGTAGTAGCCATTCAAATGTCCCCACTTTCCTTGATGGGCCCTTGGCTGGTCCCCTACAATTATTTTTTAAACATTAATCTTTGTCCTAAAATTTGCTTTCTGTTATGATTGACATTAAGATCTAAAGAGAAACGTTATCTCCTGCTATGTTATTTCTAAAAACGAAATGGCATATGTTAGCTATGATTTTAACACAAGATAAAACTAGTGGCTAAATTTAAAATAAAACCAAGCAAATAAATAAAAGGGAAGAGCTCTTTTGATTTTCTTTGACCACTCTGACCCCTGAGGTCATCGCAACAGATTTACGACTTATCCTGACTGGTTAACAAGGCTAGCGTATTTGTCTTGCATATTTAAAAAACTGAATGGACTTAATTTCTCCCTGCAAGGTGAAAATACAAGTATCCTGTCCCTGAATGATACAATCCAGGCATTCATAAGAAAACTTCAGCGCTGGATTGTACATGTTGAAGTCGGTATTCAATTAAATTCAGTTTATTTATATAGCGCCAATTCTCAACACATGTTATCTCAAGGCACTTTATCAGATTTATCAGATCATACAGTCAAATTGATTCAAAGTTTTCTATTTAAGGAAAACTAGTGGATTGCATCGAGTCACTGACTCAAATGCAGTCCCTCACACTAAGCATGCTTGTAGTGACAGTGGAGAGGAAAAACTCCCTTTCAGCAGGAAGAAACCTCCAGAAGAACCAGGCTCAGTGTGAGCGGCCATCTGCTGAGGCCGACTGCGGTTCAAGGAGACAGAAGCAGAGATACAAAAAGCAGCTGTAAAAGGTTGCCTGGTCCAGGCACAGCCAGGCAGAAGAGCTCTGAGCCAGCTCCCATGCCAGAGGACGAAGAGAGCACATCCAGCCAGTCACAGTCAGAGAAACAGGACATTGGAGAAACTATTGAAAAAAATATTGACTTATTTCTAGATTGTTTTTGCAGGGTGTAGCTACTTAAGTTTTTTTCTTGGTTGATGCTAAGGTATCCAAGGCCACATCAAAACTTCCGTTTTAGGATTCTGGGACTATCACGGATATAATTAATATGTTATTTCTGCACTACAACATCACCTGTTGTGCACTTTGCTCTTGGTCAAGATGCAGAGCCGGTATTGGTTTTTGTGTCATTGTGTCAATCATTTATGTTCACACACACATAGAGAGATAAAGAGGGAGAGATGCCTGACAACGGAAAGCATTATATGTTATATGCATGTACTTCTTCAGTGTAACTGCATGTGTTGGTTTTCTCCAAAACAGCAAGATGAGGCACTTCTAACTCTCTCATTAAAGTGGAGTGAATCCAAAAAATCTCAAATTCACCTGGAGCTTTCTCTTCAATCTTGGTTTTTTGCTTAAAAAAAGATCTACAAAGATGAAATTAGATACATAGAAAAAGAAACTTAAGTTAGCATAATGCCAACTGTCACTGTGGCATTCAACACTAAACATGAAGTTGGAAATCCAAGTGAGGCTCTCAATAGGTTTGCAGATCTCATCATGTCTGATTCCACTTCCTCAGTTATTCCTCTGAAGTTTGTAGATCCTGATCAGTGGGGTGATGCACTGAAAGTCATTAATAACAATGACAACAAGCTTTTAGCCACCATGTTCTCCGGGAAAATGACTGTGACATGAAATCATGTCTGTGGGCCACAGCATTGTCAAAATGTTCTCAGTTCAACCTTAAATGCAACACAGAAATTCAACTCTCCTTTTGAAGAATTTGAAAAGCCATCTAGGTCTCAAAACTTCAATGAAGATCACAGAGTTGCAGGAGTAACCACAGCTAAGAACTCATCTGATTGGTTGGCTTCTTATTATGGTAACAAACTTGCAAAGATCACAGCTGAGTTCAATGTGGACTTTAAAGAAACCACCATCAGTGGGAGCAAAGTTAATGTCAAAGCTTTCTACAAGAGACCTGGAGGAAACCCAGCCATGGAGAGCCATGCTAACAGACCTCTATGTCTGAACGAAAAGATGATGATGTGACACATAGACCATCCTTCACCTTTTGGTGCCACTTGGCTCAATGCTTCTGAAGAGACTTCCAACAGGTATAGAATGAATACTGATTCAACACAGAACAGCAAAGAATCATTTAGAGGGGGCGTAACAGATGACAGCAAAGATGACCAATGCCCTATATGTATGTCCAGATTTTCTAATAAGGAACAGCTGAAGTGTAAGCATGCATTCTGACCTCCCTGGATTCCCAGGCTGTGGCCACATAGATATCACCTACAATATCCCTGGTGGATTACAGATGGTAAAGTACCAGCTCATATCCGCTACATTGGGAACTTAACATATATTTTTGAAATGGCTATAATTTACCAGACCTTTTTTCCATTCTATCAGGAAAATCATTCTAAGCCTGGACGGTACTATGCAGGAACTACTAGAACAGCATATCTTCCAGACAACACGGAGGGGAATGAAGTTCTGCACCTGCTGAAAAAAGCCTTTGAGCAAATACTGATTTTCACTGTTGGAGCTTCTAGGGTATTTGGTTGGGAGAATGCAGTGACCTGGAATGACATCCATCACAAGACATCAATGACAGGAGGACCACAGTGGTACGGGTATCTGATTTGATTCCTTTACTCAATTTTGTTCTCTCACAGTTTTGGATATCCTGCTGAGACCTACTGTACCTGAGCAGAGTCAAGAAGGAGCTGAAAGCTAAACGCATTGAGTGAAATCTTTATTCTACATTAACTGAATAATTTTAAATAAATAAATGTCTTCTCAAAATCTGACAAGAAATTTACAGACTTTGTTCTTTCATAAAATTGTGTTGCATAATGTTGCATAATCAGACCTAAAGGGTTAGTTTGAAGTTCACTAAAAACTGACTCATCTGTTAAAATGTAACTGATTAACATACATTTAGAAGGCTTTATACATCTGTTTTGTTGATTATTTTTTCTTCACATGTATTTTATAAACTACCAGGTGTAATTTAAAACACCTGTGGTTTTTGTAAATAGTTGAACTTTAGTCAACTATGTAAGATTGGATTCTCTCAAATAAATGATTAAATTAAACAGACCTCATTTTTTTTTTTGATTGAAAAGATCTACATAAATAAGATTAGAACCTCATCCCACCCTATAAATCTGATCATTTTAACCATAGAAGCTTGTTTCCTTTCACAGTCGTGGTAAGATGATGGTTTGATGTAATGTTTTAACACTAACACATTATAAAACGCTAAATAATAAATTAGAAATTACAGAAGTGTTATGCAACAGTCAATCAATCTAGGTATTATTTGACAAGTTAACAATGTTTTTAATTAATACTGTTACTGGTATTAATATGGTTTAAAGTTGTTTTATCTATTCATTGTGGTGATGTCCTTCTTGTGTTTGTTCAGTTGGATATTTAATTATACATTTATCAAAGACATGTTTTAAGAAATTTAAAATGATAATAGTCCAATATCTCCAAGTAGACCAATGACTATGGCATGAAAATATTTCTTCATGACTTCGAGTTCTAATAAGTTTATAGAAAATGAACGGTTGTAACCTGTAACCTAATGATGTCACTAAGTCATTACTAAAAGTTTTGGTTGAAAATAATATTATCAAGGAGAGGCGGCCTGTGCTTCTGTACAAAGGCCACAACTATATCTGCTGGTTATGGGGCTCACTTGGATGGTTTCTAATGTTTTAAGTTGGAGACAAGAAAAGAAACAGAAGATAGAAAAACATTGTTCTTGTGGATCACATATTAGCCCGAATAGCAAAAATGGAGATAGTGATTAGCTCCAGGGTGATTAAGAAAGTGTCATTTCTATAATAATTTGTCTATATGAAAAATAAATTGACCTGAAGAGAAATAGATAAAAGCATCATCAGACCTTTTGGTTTTATTTCGAAAGTACTTCCTAGTCTATAAAGAAAAACAAAACGTATCTCTAAGGAGTTGCATAACTCCTGCTGTCTGTGGATTGATAATTAATCAGATAACTACAGTTTTCTTTATATTTTGCTTGAACTAAAGAATAATAATCCAATTAGTGGCATGAAAATACTATTAAAAGCTTTAACTTCATAAGTTCATGTTTTTCAGCTGAACATCTGTGTTCGACTGTTATGCAACATCTAATACCTTTATTTTAATAATTTTTTTATTTGAAACTTTTAAACATGTATTATAATGAGGAACTTCTCAAACTTGTTCTCTTTTGCCACCAGCTTTATAACATTTGGAGACCGACTCTGAAAAGTACATAGTTTAATCATTAACATTAAAATGCAAACAGAAACCACTTTTCTTACTGATTTACTTCATTTTATAACAACAGGCTTTAAATAAAAACACACACTGGCTGGTTGTCTGTACAATTCTAAAAATTTTATTTATGACAATATCTTATTTAGTTTGCAAAGTACTCCAGCAGAAATTAAACATTGTTTTTTTTTTTTTTTCCAGAAGAAAGTCAGCGTTTCCATGCATGGTGTACTATATAAAAGCTATGAGTCATTCCTGATTTTAAAAATAACAAAAATGACTTATCCAAAAGAAAAAAACTCCTGGAAACGCATTTATGATTCAGCAGAAAGTGTTCTTTAGGTAACATGATTGTACTTCTCTGGATTTTAACATGAAAACATACAGCGTAAAATAACACTGAACAGGTAAGCAAAGCATAAACTCATCGTCGTCACATAGAAAACTCTTATCGTCTCACTCCAGCGTTCAGATATGGCTGATGCTTTTCTGACAGAAGCAGCATTTCGGGGACAGAGGCCGAGCGTGAGGACCAACGTTAGCAGCAGCAGGGCACAGAGGAGAATAAAGAGGCAGCTGCTGAGGACAAAATGAACATAATGCACTTCAGACGGCGAGAGTGAACTTACAGACTTTGATTCTCAAAAGGCAAAAAGACACATTTATTCACACAACCAGATGCGCGTTATCTGGTCTTTACAACAGAAAATAAAAGACAAGCAAAACGCTCCAACCCTTCCTTATCATCTGGAGGAAGACCTTTGTAACCTAGAGCTAGATAGTGCAGATATGACACCTACTGTACAACAAACCACTTTATCTGCAAATCAGCCACCATAACTGTGTAAAACATTAATAACGTCCGTGTATGGACTGTAACACCCACAGTCACACCAACACGCCTCCTGAACCTTCCTCACACTGTGTGGTAGAAAGCTAGCAGTACACATTGTACCGTAAAATGTGCGGTTCTGTGCAAGGAAGACGACACAATCATTTAATGAACATCGCTTTCTGAAGGGAAAAAAAAAATCTATGTTAAAAATACTGTTGCTGGCGGCTGATACTGACATTTTACATGTGCTATACACAAACCCCTACACAGTCCTGCAGGAGGACATTATTCTACGTACCGATTCAGAAAACTTTGACTCTTTCTATCCTTATCCTGCTCAAAGTCCACATAAACACAAGCAGTTGGCACTGGCTGAGATCAAACATGTTTTCGATTCTGTACAGTTCATACAAAAATAAAAAAATTAAAACTGCTCCAATGGTAGCATCTTTTCTGATTTTCCTGTTTCTGTTTCATTGTTTTGTTTTTTTTAATCTATTTTTTTACTCAAAGAGGTAGTGGCTATTTAGGTAAAGGGTGAGGAACGAAGTGTAAATTAAAAATCTCATAGAAAATGCTTTTATGTTGTTTTACTTTTGACCAGAGGAATCTCTAAAGAAAAAAATATAATACTGCAATCACATACAAAAGTAGTCCTTCATTTTGTACATTTATACAGTGTTCACACTGAAGCCATTTTCTCTCACACTTTGTTTGGATTTTTTTTTTTCTTCTGCTGTTGTAGTTTAGATTTTCTTTAAAAGGCGAGAAGATGGATGCGTTCTGAGGGGGAGGTTGTAGGATGAAGGACAGTCTATGCCAGGGGGTCTACCAGGGGCTCCTCATCTCCACGTGACAGCAGCTCCTTCTTCTCATCTGTGCTGGCCAGAGAGTTGCGGCTGTTGTGGGCGCCCATGTACAGAGTGGCGTATACGGGGTTGGTGAAGTTGGTGGGCTACAGACGAAAAGTTAGGAAATAAACAGTCAGTATTTATTGCCACTCAAAACAACATTTTTTATACTATGTCATGTTTTAGCCCCAAACTGCAATTATTTTAAGAGACAGATCAAACAGGGTTCCTAATTTTCTGCAAATACAATCTAAAAAGTGTTAAATGTGTAAAATGAACATAAAAACAATTATGCATCAAATTGATGGCAAGGAGAATATTGAACACACACAAAAAAACAGCCAATAGGCTCCCTGTAACTCGGTAAGCTGCAGAGGTCCACAGCTCTGATAGAAGAACTATCAGTTTTAACAAACCTGAGGCAATTAATCAGGCTAACATGACTGCTCACTGAGGAGGTCATTCAGAAAGGCATATGTGATAGACTGGAATTGAAGAACCAAGGATTATATTCAGTGAAAGTGTTAAGCTGGGCCTACACTGTAGGATTTTTTTTGCCATTTCGGGCTGATTCTCCAGTTGTCTGAGAATTTTTTCGATCGGGCCGAGTTTCAGCCTCATCCTGCATTATGTAGTGTACAGGGGGTGACGAGGGGCGATCATCCTCGTACGACACCTCAGGTCAGGGATCGTGAGGTCGGGAGACAATCCAACATGTTTGAATTTCAGTCCGCCCTCGTGTGGCGTTCGTAGGCAAATTCTGCTGTTGCAGCAGAACCATGAGCCAGGTTACCAGAACCTCGCTCACTGCACATGTGCAAACAAGGGAGTTCTTCTTCTTCTTCCAGATTAACGAGTGCAATCAGCACCATCTCTCGATGCTTAGTTTGATGTGTGTTTTTTGGACGTGTAGTGTTAGCAGGTAGATGACATCAGAGCGTTGGTTCGTAGAGTGTAACAACATACAACATGAGCTGTGAACTTTTAAACTCTGCAATTTCATTGTGCAATTAGGGCTGTAGCTGAGTGCAACAATTAAAACTATACAAAATACAGTGCATGCCTGGCTTTAGATAGAAGTTCTACCTGCATTAAAATTCTGAAATACCAGCGATGAAGGAGCAGTTTGAATCAAAGCATTATTAAACATTCATGATTTAAAATGGCCCAGACCTAAACCCAGTTCAGAACCTGGGAAAAGTCTCACAGATACTCTCCATCTAATCAGAATGTGCTTTACTTAGATAACAATGATGATGGACAAACATCCATGACTGCACTGTTCATGTAGTATTTATAGCAGTTAAATGCATATGGATGCAAAACTATGATTCTTTTAGCTGGGATAAAAAATAAACATTGCATTCATTTTTTTACATTTCATTATTATTTGCTTCCCAATAAAGTTTGTGGGTTTAATGTGAAAGTGTGAGAAGTTCAAGGGCTATAATGCAAAGGCAATATAATCATGACTGGTGGCTGCTGGTATCTACCTTATCTGGATCCAGAGTGAAATCTGCGTCCAGCAGCTCCCCAGCATCATCATCAGGCTCACCCTCGTAGATCTTGTAAGCAGGGTTTCCGATCTCAACATTCATGGCCCCGTTGGTCATCCTCTGGTGCTGGAAGCCCTTTGCCCTATTAAAGAAAAAATAAAATAAAAATCAGATTTTCCTTTTCCTGATTGAAAATATTCTAAGCTCGATCAGTGGAAGCAGAGAAACAACCACCATCTAGGCTAAGCCACAACACAGACACAAAGACGAGTCACCGGCACTGATGCAGCAAAGGTCCAGACCCTGTGGACCTCAGCATGATCACTTATATTTGACAGAAAATGCATTTTAAATTGATCTCTTCCTTTCCCTATCACAATGAACCTGCTATTTCTCACTATGAGAAAACAAGGCCACAGTACAAACCACAGCACAGAACAACACTGCACAATGATGAGCAAGAACATTAAAGATCTACATCCATGTTATAGACAGATCTATTAAATGCATTGTTTTCAATAGATCTGCTAAGAGGAAACTGATCCTGTAGGCTCAGAAACACTGGAATAAATGGCACAAACATTGACCATAGCACCAAACACTGCGCAGCAACCAAAACTCAGGATTAGGGAGAAGAGAGAGAATCAGAGTGCAACAGAGAAGAGCAAAAGTATGAAGGAAGGCGTGAACGCCTGGCAACTATTACCGCAAACGCTTGGAGCCGGTTTTTCCGGGCCGGCTAGACCTGAAGAGCAAACAAGATTAGAGAGAGAGGAGAGTAAAAGTGGAACCAAAGAAAAAAATTAGAGGTAAAACAAAGAGAGGAAGGGAGGGAGAGACAGAGAGAAGAAACCATAGAGAGGTGAGGGCTGCTGGTACTGACCCGCTCATTCTTTTCCTGTACCACAACAAGGCCCCGACAGCGAGGAGAATCAGCAGCAGCAGGATCAACACCGAGACCACGATAGAGGCCGTGTCTGCAAACACAAAAACATTCATCTGTGCAGCCACACCGGTTAGGAATTAGCTTTAATGCCGCTTTACAGCAACAACTTACGTCCACTTGAACTGGTGCTGTCAGCTCTGCTGGCCACAGACTCACAGCGATGCCCCGACCAGCCAGGAGAGCATCTGCACAAGAACAGGAGTATCTATCAATCCACTGAATAACAATAAAACCAACATCAGCTGCAGAAAAACAGTCCTCCTCACCTGCACTCTGGAAGGTGGGTGATGGCATTTATAGAGCACTGGCCATTCGCACAGTACTCATTTGTATCGCATGTATAACAGGTGGAGCGGTTTCTGCCATCTGTGCAGCTATGGCCGACAGAGGGGAAAAAACATGGAAAAAAGTTTTTATTTTACATTCAATATACAATGACTGTTACAGAACATTTTATTATAATTGAATAATCACAGGCTGAATATAAAAAAAACAAAACAAAAAGGAATATAGCCGTAGTTTGGTAGTGCAAATAATCTTTCTTTGTTAACATTTTCTCTCTAATCAATAATGTGAATTAGATGTTGATTCTGTCTAAAGTCATCGTCTTGGTGAAAGATCTAATTACATATTATTCGTATTTCAAAGGTAGGGTTAAAAAGGCTGCAGGTTAGTCATGGTGGTACCACTGCTGGCTTGTAGCAGGAGCTACTGGATACCAAAGCTTCCTCTGACTGCCCAAAATATGCATGTCATGTCAGGTTAAATGGGGTCTTAGAAATGCTCAGAGGTATACATTTGTGTAGATTGTTTTTTGTCTCAAAGTTGCCCAGTGATTGACTAGGAAACATAACCTACCATGCTTGTCGCCCAATCAATGCTAAAGATACAGAATCAGGTACAGATAAGAGGATATAGACTAAGACTCCTGGCCCACAGCATCACAGATCATCCACCTTACTTTGAAGCTGGCATAATTTCCTAATTACTCACCATATTTTTCACACCAAACTATCAATAAAAGGTAATTCCCTCCTCAACAAGTTATCTTGTAGATAGTGCCTAATGGTTTTCATGGTGACACAAGGATGCCTTTATTTGCTGCAGTTCTCTAACCGTGAGCCCCAGAGGTTGCTTTTGTACCTATACGTCTATCCGCCTCCTAAATGTTTGTGGTGAAAAGATAAAGTTTAGTTCTCCCATCTTCTTTTTCACAGTGTCCATGGTTTTAAACTGTAATATTGTTTTAACTGTAGATGGGGACATGTTTAAGCAAGTATAATTTTTTCTGGTGTGTTCTTTTTCTTTCCCATTTGGAAGACAGACTAAATATGGGTTTCTCTATGAAAACAAATCTATAAAACTGAAAAATCTTGATTTATAGCTTAAAACTAAGCATCTTTCATAGAAGTATAAAATGTTAAAATTCAAATATATTGTATATGAACTGATAAAACTGTGCCTGTTGGTTGTTACCCCTGCCTCTTCCCAACTTAATAAACATTTTGGTTCGGGATCATGCTATTACTCTAGATTAAATCAGTTAATTCAGACTTTTACGTATTTCTTAGCAGGATGGATTTGAAATATCCGTCTCTTAGTGCCCTTACCGACAACTGAAATCCCCCGTAGTCACAAACCCATCCCTGGGGATGCACTCGCCATCCCGACAGTAGTGACACCTGTCGATTTCGCAGGCGGCGCCGATGTACCGAGGAGAACAGCGGCAAGATTTAACGCCGCTCTCACTCTGCAGGCAGGTGCCCCCGTTAAGACAGTGACCTTCACAGCTTCCTGTTCAGACAGAGAGACACACACAACACTTTATAAAAGCTTCTAAATATTCAAGCTTCCAGATCACAAATATCACACAAGATAAGAGTGAATTAATCTGTATTATATCATGTTGGTCTGCATGATAATGAAGCCAAACCCCAGTAATTGGCTTTAGCTCCAACAGTAAACCCTGTGAACACTCACTATACTGGCACTGGTCGCCCAGGAAGTCAGCAGGGCAGCGACAGGTGGGCTGGTTTCCAGCACTGACGGTGCAGTTGCCACCATTCTTGCAGTAATTCTTACATGTGTGCAGGTTACAGGTAGGTCCTGTAAATCCTGTCAGGCACCTGCAGGTAGGAGAACCTGCAGAAGGACAGATGTTGATGATCGGTAAGAACGGATGTTTCTTCGGAGGATGTGTCCTAAACCCTTATGTGTTACCTGTAGGGGAGGGTGTGCATGTGCCCCCATTCTTGCAGTAGTCCTTGCACTGATCGATCTCACATCGATCACCTCTGTAGTTAGGCTGGCAGCGACACTTTGGCTGCATGTGGGCGTTCAGGATGCAGCTGCCACCATTCATGCACTGGATGTTACAGGGGCCACTGGGGGGAGCTGGAGAAAACAAAGGCTCAAAGTCACGCAGAAACACTCAAAGGTTTTCATATCATGATCTGCTGGCTGCTCACGTACAGAGAGGAGACAGCGTGGGAGTCGGCAGCTCTACGCAGGTGCCATTATCCAGGGTACGTCCATTAGGACAGGTGCACACTGGCCCGCTGGGGCTGAGCAGACAGAGCCACTCGCATTTCTTTCTGTCACAGGGATTGTTTCCTGGCAGGAAGATAAAGAGGGAGAATGAGCACATAGATTACAGTTCCCCTGAGAGCCACTAGAGGGAGCCATTCAGACCCTGAGTAAGAGGAGCTTTGCTGTTATGTGATCTTATGTGCTGTCTTTCTGTGCCCTGATACGAATCACTAGGCCCCTTCTCTTTAAATTCTTCCTATTCACAACTGTCACTTTTTTCCCAAAGCTAAGTCTGATGGTTTCTAACTGTTCTTATGTAGTGTCATTCTATTTTATCTCTAGTTCTATGTGGTTCTGCTGTCAGTTTTCAGTTTTTTACAGGAATCAAATTTTTTACAGGAATTAAAATCCTCTCCACAGCATGATGCTGCCACCATGGTGTGTTATAGTACGTTTAGGGTTAAGCCGGTTACACATTCATTATTTTTGCCTTTTTTATTTGTTAAATATTCTGATTGGAATATATTGTCTAGGTTCATATTACTTGTTTGACATCATGTTTTTGTGCCAAATTTGTTTCAAATAGAATATTACAGCTTATCCTGTCAAAACTATTTATACTGTTATTTTTAATTATCTATTTAAAAACAAATCAGAGGATTTATTGGGTTTTTGCAGCAGGTCTGTTTTAACATCAGTTGTTTGGGCAAGCATGGTTGCTATAGTGATGAATAGCAGGAGTTATTTTCTTTATATGCTGTTAAAAAGACCCTCCCAGCAGTTCTAGATATGCATGATTTTCTGCCCATAGTCCTAATATTTTATGTTGAAAATTAAAAGTTAACTGATGTTAAAGAGAAACCATTCAGGAAAAGTCTTATATTACACAAGTTACATATTTCTTAGTGGTTCTAGCGTTTGGTAAACCTAAGCTGACTTTAAGCTGGTGATTCTGTTGGTTTTATTTCTGGGCTTCACTCACCATCAGGCTGCTTATACTTGTGGTGCAACACCAGATCCGTGGCATGGTTCATCCCATTCGCCAGGTTTTCAATAGGTCCCATCCCGAACTTATTCACTCTGAAGACGGAGTTGGTCATGTGGGTGACGCCGTAGATGTGGTCCTCGAATATGTCAATGCTGAACGGATGATAAAGCTCTGCAGGGAGACAGAGATGCAGCACAGACAGGAGGTGACTTTTGGACTAAAGTAAAGTTTGATCACTGACCAGCATCTCTAAAAGCTACTCAACTGTTTTTCAAAGTGTTCACAGCCACGACCATATCACTGCCGTCTAGCCTCACACTGCAGATCAGTGAAAGTTTGGCGTCGGCCCAGTACAGGCGCTCATTGAAGTAGTCAACAGCCAGACCTAGAGTAGAGAATGAGTTTTCATGGTGACTCTGATAGGATTGTCAGATGATCAGGAGGATTTGGATATGTTACCAGTTGGCCACTCAATGTTTTCTTCAACCAGTGTTTCTCTCATGGTTCCGTCCATAGCTGCTGTTTCTATCTTTGGGTGGTGTCCCCAGTCAGCCCAGTACATTTTCCTAAAGAATAAGAAGGAAATCGTTAACCAATCATAAGAACTGATACGGATCTATACATCCAGCTCATATTTAGAAGTTCTCCCACTAACCCTCTCTGGGGGTCGACCACAATAGCATAGGGCTCATCAATCATGCCAGAGATCAGGGTCTTGTGGTGCCGTCCGCCGCCCATCTGAGCCACCTCAATGACATCCCTACCAGAGTCGGTCCAGTACAGGTTCCCTGCTACCCAGTCCACAGCAATACCCCGTGGCATCTTCAGCTCCGGAATCTAATCAGACAAATAACATGCATGCAAACTTTATATCAGCTCAGTCAATACTTTTGCATAAAGTGTAAAATATTAATGACCGCCAGCACCTCAAGGTTGTTGACCCGGGAATCGCTCTGCCGTCTGTTCCGGTTGCTGTTTTGAGAGGACGATGAGGACGGCAGGTCGTAGTAGGAAATGCGCCCTGTGTGCCAGTTGGTCCAGTAAAGGCGACTTGTCTTCACATGCAGGTCCATGGCATCGATGCGCACGTTGGCGTCACCCTGGAAGATCAGCTCATAGTGCCAGTTTGGCACAGAGGGGTCCAGGCTCCGGATTTCATTGTCGTCCCCGAGGTAAAGAACATGTCCCTGAGCTGTATGGGTGTGAAAGAAAACAAGAGGGAGCTCATAAAGGAGACTTTTAGGTACACCTCCAAGACCTGAACAGGTAATTAAACACCCATCTTAGTCAGATTCACTACAAAGAAAGAGATTTAGTTCCATTAAATCTGTGATTACAGTTAATGAACCTGTTCTGTTCATGCCACTTCCAACACAAAATAAGCCACAAAATGTCATAAAGAAAAAAACTGTCTGTTTCCATATTGTGGTAAGCATGCAAATTGAAAGCTTAGTGGAAGGAAAACGTGTGGTGGAAAAAAGTAGTACAGGCAAATGGGATAACCACTGGTGAAGAAAAAACTAGTGAAAAGTATTTAGTTAAAGCAGTGATTTATTTTTAAAAAAGCCACATCACACTGATGTGCACAGAATACGGCTACATTTTTGATATTCTTTTTGTTAGAATATCAAACATAAGCATCTTCCCAGAGGTATTACTGTTGCTTTTGCACCTTTTTCTGACATACGTTTTCTTCCTCAACTTTCTTCTTAATGTTTTGACACCGAACTCTGAACAATCAGTCTCTTTAGGTCAGCGACTGCTGGGCAGCTGTCAAGTCAGCAGTCTTCCCTTAATGTCTAGACCATTCCCAAGCATTTTTCTACTAAAAAATCCATTCATTATTGCTCCTGGATTATATATTTATCTGAAAATCTGAAGTTTGGATTTTCTTTAATCTGGACATTTCCGTAGAAAGTACTAACCATCATATTTAATAGTACTACTAGTTTCAAGAAATAACCTAACTTAAGCCCTGTTATGGGCTGAAATGAGTGTGAAGCCATTTCCCTACATGTTGCATAACGACCAGCTCAGATTAGCTCTATTGAAAACTGTAAAACTCTTGAACTTGTCAAATACGATACAGAGTACAACTGACTAATGGTGATTTTTTAAACCCTTTATTTTACATTTTAGTAGCTTTAATTCCTAAAAGTAGCTGTTTCACTGCTTTGCTTGGATTTAGACACATTTTTTTTATATTTATGTCTGGAAACCAAACAGGTTATAAATGTATTTTTTTAATGGTGTATTCAGTTAGTAAACCAAACACCATCATAGTGTGATGTGGCAAAATAAACATACATCTCATTATTTTAAAGGTATAGTTTAGGATGTTTTTTTTTTCTTTTCAGGTGGGTCATCAAAATAAATGGTCCTCCTCATTGTCAATCATTCTGGTGATTCTGGGTTTACCTAAGACTGTCCTACGTGCTCGTCCCCATTTTCACTTACTGGTGGTTCGCTAACATAGTGGAAAAATTGCAAATCTTCTTTTGGAAAGTAAAACAGAGCATGCACAAGGACAAATGGGCTTGTGCATGCTCGCATGTGTTTAATAGGTGTTCCCTCAGGCAGGTACAGGGTTGTGCATGTACATTTTTTTAAAGTGGAGAGGGCGGTGCTTTTAAAAGAATTGCAAATATCCTCCACTATACCTTTAAAGTTTATGTAGAGTAACTTAAAATTTAATCCAATATTTCTCCTGTTATGGAAATTGCTAAAATTGAATTTTTTAGACTATATAGGAAGCTTGAATAATTGGCTTTTAATGCTGATTTGAAATACATAAAGAAAATACATTATTTTAACGTATATTCACTGAGATGTACTAGTATGTGTGTTTACATCCTTCTCTTCAGCCTCACCATCAGCTTTGCAGGTGTTGTTTATTCTGCTGAAGTACTTGTGACAGCTGCACTTGTGGGAGCCTTTGGTGTTGTTGCAGATGTGGGAACAAACTCCAAACTGCTTGCACTCGTTCTTATCTGTGAAACATCCGAAGGCGATGTGACCGATGTTAGCCAAAACATGAAGGGTCAAGAGAAACACTGTGACAAGATATCAGATGTTCTGACCTTCACATCTATTCTGTCCGGTGGACTGGAAGCCGGGCTTGCAGGAGCAGAAAGAGACAGCGCCGTTGATAACACAGTGTGCTTCGTCTCCATCTCCACACATGGTTAAGTTGCTGCGGCATCTGTTCAGCGTCATATCTGCTGGACAGCATAAAGTAAGCACTGATAATGTCTTCAGGTTGCATCACAAAGAGCGAGGCTGCAACGCACCTTTCGTGTCGCAGCTCATTTCATCTGAACCGTAGTCCTCGCAGTCATTGAAGTGGTTGCAGAGCAGATCAGTGCTAATGCAGCGACCGTTAGAGCACTGGAATTGGTTCTTCTGGCAAACCGGCGTCAACGGATGTGATGCTGGATAAAAGGGAGACAGCATTTAATGATGCTTCTGATTTTAAAAGGGACAGGAAAACATGTCTGAAAATGCTACATTGTAGGTGCAACAAACCAAAAGTTGGTTCTATTATTATTGACGCAGCATTAGTTTAGAAATGTACTAAATCCAAATGTTAGATTTAGTGTAGATGGATGAATAAACTCACGGCAGTTGAGCTCGTCGCTGTTGTCCCCACAGTTGTTCACGCCATCGCAGCGCTTGGAGACTGGAACACACACCCGGTCGTTGTGGCAACGGAACTGCCTCATCGGCGGACACACAAATTTAACTGATGGGCCATCAGAGAGGAGCGTTAGAGGGGAGAACAACTACATCAGTGACTGCTGTGGAGGGGAGAAATACAGGAGGAAATGTGGCAAAACTCACCGCACTCTGTCGGGTTCTCATCTGAATTGTCTCCACAGTCATCCTCACCGTCACACATCCAGCGGTGAGGTTTACACAGAGTGTTATTGCACTGGAACTCCTCCAGGGAGCAGTGTCTGCCCACTGGAATGCCACAATGACATAGAACACATTACACTGAGGTACTAATACCCCTGATGTTACAGCAACTTACTGTATTTTAATTCATAACAGTAAAGGTAAACTATGCTCTTTCTTTTTTCTTTACAAATACATTTTTTTTCTTTTTCTTATCTCCAAAAAAGTTTATATTCACAACTGGATTAAGCTCTAAACTTTGACATACATACAGATTCAGATTTAAAATCTGGATAAATCTTTAGGGTTATTGTCCTGCTGGAAGATGAACTTCCGTCCCGGTCTAAACTCTAAACAGCTATTCTGCATCTAAAAAAAGGCATCTCTCCACAGCAGGATGTTTAAACCACCATGTGTCAACGAGGGGACCATGTGTGTGCGGACGGATCTGCACTGCAGCTTTACATGGAGGCCTGAAATATCCATTTTGGTCACATTTGTTCAGGGCACTTTGCTCCAAATATTAGCTGTGACCCTACATGGTGAACTTCTAATGGATTTTGTTCATCATCTGCTTTCGTCTTTCCACTCTCACATAAAGGCCAGATCCATAGAGAGCAGTTATCCTTTATTGAATTTGAATCTTTACGTCTCCTAAAGATTTACTAAGAGTCTCTCTGATTAATCATTAGGGATTAAAACAAATTAAATACTTGGTGTCTTTTTTTATATGCAGCTAAAATCCTTTAACGAAATCATTCTTTTTTCCTTCAACTCTACATTTTTAAGATGATCCGGAACATAGAGTGCAATCCCACTATGAAAGTCTGTAGTTATAGTGTGACAGAATAGGGAAAGGTTGAACAAGCTAACAGTGCGCTAAGAGATGAAAATGTGGACTGGTTTTAGTCAGCTTCAGCCTCCTCTCACCACTGCTGTCGCATTTCTCCTCGTCGCTGCCATCCACGCAGTCGACATCAGAGTCACAGCGCCAGCGGATGGGAATACAGTGGCCGTTTTTGCATTGAAACTGATCACTGTCGCATTTTACATCACAGCCATCCTAAAAAAAAAACAAGCGTTTCCATTATTAAACGCTGTCGCTGTTGTTTAAAACAGAGATAGATGGTAAAATATCTGAGCCATACCTCATCTGATCCATCTGCGCAGTCGTGATCCCCATCACACTTCCAGCGACCAGCGATGCAACGGCCATTTGTGCAGGCGAACTCACTCTCTGAGCACTTTCTGGGCACTAAGGGCAGAAAAAAGAGAGGCTCAGAAGAACATGTGGGAAAAATTTGGAAAGAACAGAGTAGAGGGAACCAATAAGGGAAGGCTTAAGGGAAAGATAACTAGAGAAGCTCAGAATAGAATAGAGTAAAAACACAAAGTTAGGAAGAAGGTTTAGGTTTATATAAAACAAGGCATTTCAATTTTATTATAGGGATGGTATCAATGGGTGAAGAAAGGAGGAGAAGGATTGAAAATGGATAATAAAAGCTGGAGGAGGAAAAAAGCAGGACTTGGGAATTAAAAGGTTTGTGGTTGATCTGAAACAGTGACAGCACCTACCTCTGGCTCACAGCAACAGGCCAGTGTGGAATGCAAAACAGACATGAGATGATGTGAGATGTGCACAGAACCGACTGGCTAAACAGAAATCAGTCCAGGAGCTTCAACAGACGGAAAGTGAGGAGCGACACATGTCTTACCGCTTCTGCTATTCTCCCCACAGTGGAGCTCATGCAGAATTACAAATAAGGCGGCTTTCATTCACACAACGAGCTGCGCTAAGGGGTTATGTTTTATCAGAGGGTAACATTAAAACGAAGAACCTACCACACTTCTCCTCATCCGAGTTGTCTCCACAGTCGTTGTCATAGTCGCACTGCCAGCGGCCGGGAACGCAACGGTTGTTCTTGCACCGAAACTGGTAAGGCTCGCATGTCCGCTCATCTGTGAACAAACGGGAATGCTCAGGCTGCACGGGGTGAAATCAAAACACTTTGAGCCTCCACGGCAGAGGTGACGCATACCGCACTCATCCTTGGGTTCATCTGAAGCGTCTCCACAGTCTGCTTCGCCGTCACACTTCCAGAGCGCCGGGATGCAGCGGCCTGAGTCCTTGCAGCGGAACTCGTCTACGCCGCATGTCATTTGAGCTAAGATGGAAAGCAGGACATAACGGTTTCTACAGACTCACAGTGAGCACAGGTATGTCATCACTGACGTTAAAGGCAGATCTTACTGCAGTTGGCGGGCTCATCAGAGCCATCCACGCAGTCATTGTCCCGATCACACACCCACACTCTGGGGATGCAGCGCTTACTCATGGCACACTGGAACTGGTTTGGTGCACATGTGACCTCAGCTGCAGTAGAAACACACAATGGAGTTTTCATCACAAACTATAAAAAAAAAAAACTGATGGGGATAGTTAGAGGCAGAATAAATAATGTCTTTGTTATCAGTAGATGGCACTGCAGTCATTATATGACACAACTAGGCCTGAAAGTTTGGCCATTGGAAAGGTTATAATCAGTTAAATATGCTCTAAATAACATCAGTGTTCAGCAGATTCATCTGCACTAATAATTACATTCTGAGATACAGAATTAACAATTAGATAAACTAGATCCCATATTAATAGTAGTTGGCACAGCTCATGGTCCACCAGTAGTCAATCCAAAACATCCTAACAACCAATTTTGGATTCTATCAGTGTGCATCTAAATTCACAAATAAAGATGCTGATTGATGAACTCTTCTCCATCCTTTTGTCCAGCAATGGAGTAGGAGCCATGTCAGCAGTTTGGCTGGACTTTTGGTTATGGTGGAATAAAATGCGAAGGTTTTTATGCACAAGTTTGCCCATCTTTTTAGTTCTATTCATTTATATGTTTAGGTTGAAAGTTTTTGCAACCAATTTGTTAAAAATAAATAGATAAGTTGTTCTTATAACTATTGTTGAGGAGTGAGGACTGTTGTTCTATGAGTCATATCACCAAATCAAACTTTTTTTAACATTCGTACAATGCCAGCAAGAATCATAAAATATGATTCCTGCTTAAATCATATCAGGTTATTATCAGTATTGGTCAACACTCAGATGGACTAACCCTGTAAAGGCAGTAAGAAAGTACTTAGTTTCCCCCTGTTAGGTTTCATAAGGTTTGAGCAAACAGAGACAGGGCTCTTTGCTCCTGTTTCCACAATCTGTATGGACCAGTGGTTCAGAGTAAGGACTCTGCTGGCAGTTAGCAGCTGTCTAACCTTTCAAGAAAAATAGCAATAAAGAATGTTTATGGTAGTAATATTGGAAGAGATAAAATAAAACCCCAAACTTATAAACAGATGCTGATGAAGGTTCTCAGTCATCCAGGTCATAGTCATTCCGTAAAAATTTAAAAAAATATCCACTGGACTTGGTTTCTAAGATTTGAAGACGTTTCGCCACCTCTACAGGAAGCTTTACTGCACTTTAAACAGAGGTGGTGGACTCAGATTCCAACTTCCAAAAACATACAACTCAATCATAGACATGATCCCTTCCAGATATCACCAAACCCCCCACCCCATCACAGAAGAACGAGGGACCTACAGGGGAGGGACCTTCATATCTTGGAAACCAAGTCCAGTGGATGTTTTTTTGAATTTTTACGGAATTATAAACAGATGATACCAATGGGATACCAACACTGTTTCTGCTTTTATACCCTAAACTAATTCTCAGTAATTGAATAAACTGATCGGACCATTTTTCTCTTTAAGTCATTTTTAAGCCAGAAGCTGAAATATTTAAAATCTGCAGTCTTAGGATCTCTCTTATACCCTGTTCTTTTACTGATCCCTTATGTTTTCTTAAAAAACTGAGCTCTGGGAGCTAAAATATAAGAAGATAAAAATAATTTTTTTTCTGTAGTGAACTATTTTTGTGCTGCTGTGGTTTGGATCATCGTCCTGTAGAACGACCCATCGATGACTCGTTTCCATTTTACTGGGAGAGGCAGCATGAGTTAGATAAAAAAAAAATCAGCAAGTTACCACACAAGCCCACAGCATCATAGATCTTCTACCTTACCAAACTGTGTGTAGTGCATTTACACTTATTTACCTTTTGGAGTGCTTGTTGCTCAAAAAAATCAGAGAGTCCCAGTGAAGCAAAGTTAGTGCTCACTTTTGTGACGCAAGGAAGAAAAGTTTATTTCCTTGGCATCAAACTAAACCAATCAGTTGGTGTGGCAGTAGGATCTAATGGTTGTCATGACGACTTGGTGAAAGACAGATGGGTATCTTTGTGATGTCTTCTTCAGATGCCAGAGAAACAATTACTAATTAAAATTCCTACTCCTGACAGGCCATCATGCAGGACTGAAACAATCCAACAAACACCAGAGATGACTCACGGCAGTCCTTCTCATCCTCTCCATCCCCGCAGTTGTCCTGGCCGTTGCAGCGGAAGATCCCCGGGATACAGCGATTGGGATGAGAACACTTGAACTGACTTGGCAGGCACACGTGAATGTCTGAGAAAGTCCATAAACAATGAGTGGCAAGGGGGTGGAAAGTGTAAAACTGTGATTATATATGAACAGGTGTATCTACCGCAGTTTGCTTCGTCAGAGTTGTCCTGACAGTCATTGTCTCCATCGCAGATGTAGGCTGGGTTGGTACAGATGCCGGTGCCGCACTGGAACTGGCCTGGTTTGCACTTAAACTCGGCTGAAGGGGAGACAACACAGTACGTTGTCACAATCTAACCATCTCGAAAAATAAAAACAAAAAACAGCCTAACAGGAAATCCCTTACGGCAGTCTGCTGGCTCATCGGAGCGATCCCCACAATCATCCTCTGTGTCACATTTCCACCAAAACGGAATGCATTTGTCATTCTTGCAGACAAACTAAAGAAATAGATGAGAGATTTTTTTTTATTTACAAGTTACCATGTCCAAAAATAATCTTGTTAGAGAAACCCCTTTGCACAATCTCACCTGGCTGGCGGTGCAATTGGACAGACACTGTTTGCCATCAGAGGCTAGGTAGAAGTTGGTGGGACATGCACACTTGTAACCCCCACCAGGTGAGAGCAAACACAGGTTACTGCAGCCGCCGTTATTTATCTGACATGGATGGCCTTGCACTGGCGGAAACAGAAGGAAATGTAAAACCCGCTTAATGGAGAAGCAGCCGTTAAGAAGGGGACCTGTCTGTACCATCGGGCTGGCGGTATGGGTGGAACACATGGATATCCATCGGCCTGTGCAGGGTGCTGATCAGCATGGTCTTGTTGGTGCCCTGTGTCTTATGAGCTCTGTTGATAGACTTTGTTTCCCAGTCGGTCCAGTAGATGTACTCCTCGAACAGAGTCATGGCAAAGATGTGAGGGATATCCTGGGAGAGGACTAAAGGAGAGCACACAGACACATGAAGCCGAGTGAAAAGAACAAAAATTTGTTTTTTGATTTCGGTGTGTCACCTGTGTGCCTGTTGGTTCCATCCATGCTGGCGAAGGCGATGTAGTCCTCTCGAGCATCCGCCCAGTAGATGCGGTCGTTGATGAAGTCCAGGGTTAATCCGTTAGGCCAGGTGATCTTATCCTTAATGATGACGCTCCTGTTGGTGCCGTCCATCCCGATCCTCCCAATGTGAGGGTTGTCCCCCCAGTCAGACCAGTACAAGTACCTTTCAGGGAAGAATAATTTGGAGAGTGCCCAATAGACCAACACAAAGTAGGAAGGGTAAGGATACAGTTTTTGTTTTAATAAACATATTCAGCTTTTATGGAACCATTCTAACACATCTCTATCTCTGGTTCTGGTTGTGTTTCAAAGCTTATGGCCCAAACAGAATCTTCTTTCAAGATTCTCCCACACATTTAGCCCCATCCATCATCCCTTCCTCTCTAAACAATTTCACTTGGCCCTAAGAGGGAAAAACATTCCCACACCATATTGTCTTAAGTGACACATTTTTGCAGTTTTAGATTTCTTCCACAAACTGCATTTTTGTAGAAGTATGACAAGTTAAAATTTAGATCTAAACTGATGACTTTCTACACTTTTGACATATTCCCAGCATGTCTGGTGTCAGATTTGAACCATTACTCGCTTTCTTTCAATAGTGGCTTTCTTGCAACTTTTTTACAGAAGCCCTGAAAGGCAAATGAGAAAAAAGAAAAAATCTGGGTAAGAAAATTAGCATTAAAAAAAAACTGGTGTGTTGATAGAGGGAAAAAAGTTTTAGAAAGTTACATTTTTTTAGCAGTGTGTTAATAGAGAGAAAAAAATGAGAACATTTCCCACTGTTGTTAGAGGTTAAAAACTGTTTAGCTTCCTAAAGAATTTTTATTTTGCTGTTATAAATAGATAAAATCATAAGTACATATATTCATATATAGATTTTACTCACATTATTTCTTACACCCATGCCTATTTTTTGTCACAAGATAAGCATTTACTGACCTGCTTATAAATGGGGAGTGTTTGCCTATTGGTTAGAGCAATGCGCCTGTGCTCTAAGAAGGTTGCAAGTACCCAGATCGATCCCCACAGCCTGCACTCTGTGTCTCTGAGCAAGACCCTTAAACCCACACTACTCCCTGGGCGCCACACAATGGCAGCCCACTGCTCCCCAAAGGGATGGGTTAAATGCAGAGAGGGAATTTCCCCATTGTAGGACAATAAAGGGATTTTTTTTTTTTTTTACATTACATTTTTTTTACAACAAACAAGGTAGATATGATAATTGCATAGCGAGGCAAACAAATTAATAGTTTTTGTATCTCTATTGTAGCTTATCTTACTTTGCAAAACTCTAGTTTATAAATTGGGACACAAAAAACCCCATTAAATTAGGTTGAACCCAATAATATCCATTAAAACTACAGTGTGTAACTTTTAGCGACATCTAGCGGTCAGACTGCAGACTGCAGCAACATGAACATCTCCCCCCCACCGCTTCTCCCCCCCAACAGTACGGCGAGCGTTACGGGACAAAATGTCTTCCACAACGTCCGCATCACCTACCTTCTCAAGTGATGAGGTTTGTTTACATAGTTAATTTTACAGATAGTATTTCATTAGTCTGTGTAGGGTATAGATTTCATGTAGACTTAAGATAATAAATATACCCGTTATTTTTTCTACATCGTTGTGACGTTTTGGCGATCTCGCAATCGCTAGTTTGTTGCCTCTGCGCTTGCCGTAGCGCAAAGATGTCTGCCTCCATGGCTGCGAGACCCGCTCCTATGTAATTATAAATAACGAATTCTAAGGCAACGCAAATATTAAGGTTAAGAGGCTGAGCTCGTAGATGATGATAAATAACATAGTTATGTATAATATATTACATTTCTGACTGTATATCCCTGTAATTATTACACACTGTAGCTTTAAACTGTGTAGTTATAACAGAATATGTCCCTTTGCAAGGCACTGTATGGTAATGTTCAAATATTTGAAATCAATATGAATATAAATGACACCACAGTAGAGATTAGAGACCAATTTGGCCCATGATGGCTCTTACCCATAGCGAACATCCACAGCAATAGCACGTGGCTCCCTTAGACCGCTATTGAGCAGAACCGTCCGGTATGCTCCATTCAGCTTTGACACCTCTATTGTGTCCCGGCCTTTATCACACCAGTACAGGTTCCCTCCGACCCAGTCCACAGCCAGACCGTCAGGATTGTTGAGCAGCGTGCGGTGAAGAACCTGACAGTTAAATGGAAATGTGTTTAATTATCTCTACTGCATGCACAGCCACACACAAACATATTCTTGAGGATGAGGGAGTTAGAAAGACTGCAGGTTAAATCATCCTCTTATGCTTTAACAACACTGACCTGAACATTGCTGCCGTTGATGTGCATCCTTCTGATCATGCTCCCTTGCGTGTTCACATCTGTCCAATAAATCATCTGCTCCCGATAGTCAAAGTCCAGAGCCACGGCATTGTTTAAGCCCTGCACAGGAGCCACATAAGTTTTAGGACAGGATAAAACTCTGGATGACATTTTGCAGGATTCATCCAAAGGAAACCTTGGTCTCACCTGTTTGAGCAGAGTGTAGTTGGAGCCATCCAAGTTGAGCTTCCTCAGGTAATAGCGGTTGGCAAAGATGAGGAAAGGCTCCTCGTCTGCAGATCGACAGCACAAATGAAGGGATTTACCTGAAACACCTGGCTGGCTGTTATTAAACTGTCACTTTCTTACCAGAAATAGATTTGCATAAGGTTGGGTTCTCATCGCTGAGCTGGAATCCCTCCACGCACAGACAGTGGTAGCTGCCATGAGTGTTTATGCAGCGCTGTGTGCAGGGATAAGTGGTTGTGCATTCATCTATGTCCACACAGGTCTTCCTATCATCTTTGAGACGGAAACCCGGGTGGCATCGGCACTGTTAAGGAGCACAAGAAACAGCTGGTAAAGCAACAGACTCAGAAACTAGAAAAGTTAACTTTGAATTTAAAGCTAAGATTTTCTGGCTTTAAATATGAAACCCAGCAAAAAAGAGACATGGATAGATGAGGAGAAGGACAGGGAACTAATAAGACAGTTTCCTGTAAATCTTAAATTAAGTTCCAAACTTTCCAGACCTTTCCAGACGACTCTGCCAACATTTCATTTCCTGCTCATCGCTCACCTTGAAGCCTTTTTTCAGGTCCTCACACTGCTGTGAGCAGCCGCTTAGTTTACTGTTCAGGCACTCGTTGATAAAGCAGTTGAGCTCATCAGAACCATCCCCGCAGTCATCCTTATGGTCACAGAGCAGAGCCTCCGCAATGCACTTTCCATTACTGCAGGCATACGCGCTGTCATTGCATTTCTTTTCTGTTCAGTGAAACAAAGAAATCGAATTAGAAACGCGTGAAAAGAAGAAAAATATTTGAAAAACTGAGGTTGTTTCTGCTCTGCTGAGAGATACTTCCAGCTGCCTGTTTTTAACACTTTCTGTTTTGAAAAGCAGAATCTATTCCTTTATATATTTTAATTGTCTTGTTTTTTTATTCAAATGAATTATAAAGTTTTAAATTAGCTTTTCATACTTAAGAAAATGTAATTTTAATGACTAAAGAGAGAGAAGACCTATGGCACTGACTCCTTTATAGGCAAATTCTAAACAGTTAATTTGTCTTCATAGATTTTGATAAACAGATGAAATAATTAAAAGCAGCTGGTTGCTCAGTAATCCTCCTATTGTTTTCATTAATATAATGTAAGAAAAAATTTACTGAGCAGCTTTAAAAACTTTTAAAGTTTTTACTTTTTAATTGGTATGAAAGATGAAATAAATTAGGCTGATTGAGGTAGGAAAAAAGGAGCCAACAGATAATAAACAAATACTAAAAAAACTAAAGATTTGAAGTGTTCTGTGTCCCTCTAACCTGGACTTAAGCAGTGAGGGTTTAACGGGGCTTCGTCTGAATGGTCATGGCAGTCGAACTCGCCATCACACTCCCAGGACTTATGCATCAGACAGCTTCCGTTAGAGCAGCGGAAACTGTCAGGACCACATGGAGGGTAGTCTGTGGTGACAAACAGTGAGTGTTTTTAAATAAAAGTGGCAACAGAAGGAAGGAATGGTGAAATGATTGGCCCATTTGGTGTGGCGGGACTCCTTACAGCACTCCGGGGACTCATCTGAGCCATCTCTGCAGTCTCTGTCATGGTCACACACAAAGTGCTTGGGGATACATTCCCGGCTTTGGCACATGAACTCATCACCGCTGCATGTGTCGTTAAAGACTGATGAGAGAAAAATGTAGTGAGAGAAAAATCTAAAAAAAAAAAAAAATAGCTTAAAGAGAGCGGGTGAGCTAAGGTGTGCTCACCACATCCTGCTGTGACACTCTCATCGGCCCCATCAGGGCAGTCTTTGTCGCCGTCACACTTCCAACGCTGGGGAATGCACACATTTGATCCAGGACAGCGAAATGTTCCTGGACTGCAGCTTTTATTCTCTATCAAAAGAAAATATGACAGTTAAGCCACACAATTTTAAAGAGTCATAAAAAATGTATAGAAACACACCAACATGATTTATTCCCAATTTGTCCCCAGTGGCTTAAAAATGTAACTCCAACCTTTTAATATATATTGTCATGTTGCAGCGATAAAACCTATCAGGAACTTTAACTGACAGCTCAACAGAAAGTAACAGCAGAATAGTTCATTTTATTTTTATCTAGATTTTATTTAGAGGTATAGAATAAGGGGTTGGACACAATATGGTTCTTTTCGAATTTTTATTGCTTAATCACTTTATACATTTTTTGTAATGGAATGGACCTCCACTTACTGCAGTGAGCGCCCTCGTCGCTGTTGTCTCCGCAGTCGTCAGCGCCGTCACACACCCAGCGGCTGTAAATGCAGCGGTGGTTCTTACACTCAAACTGTGACGGAGAGCAGACCTTATCTACAAAACCAAAGATATGAAAGAGGTATTATTCCTGCACGATTAAGAAATTCAGCTGGATCAGAGGTCTCCATGGTTCGTACCGCAGTTTTCTTCGTCGGCACCTTTCTCGCAGTCATTTTCGCCGTCACATGTCCAGCTCATCGGAATGCAGCGGCCGCTCGGACACCCAAAGTAGGGTAAAGCACACTTTGTCCTACCGGCCCCTGATAGAGAGACAAAAGGGGTTGTTTAAAGAAAATCCCTTCCCATGCTATAACTTAATAGACGTTTTCGTATTTTTCAGTTTCTTTGGTGTAAACTAAGATGAATACCAGGGCAGTTCTTTTCATCTGAGAAGTCCCCGCAGTCATTGGCCCCATCGCACTGCCAGGTGAGGGCGTAGCACAGCGTAGTGAACTCACACTTCTGAAACGTCACGCTCTTCACTCCCAGACGGAAGTAAGAGGAACAGTCCGTCGGAGCTTTACAAGGAAAAAAGAAACAAAAAGCAAAGCTTTCTGTGCAACATGCTGATTTTTGTATTAAAACCAAATAGTCAGAGTGAGCTAAACGGAGGAACTTACGGCAGTTCATCTCATCACTGGCGTCCTCACAGTCAACCTTCTGGTTACACTTGCTGGAGTTGGAGATGCAGCTTCCGTCTCTGCACTGGAATTGATCGGCTGAGCACAGCGTGGCTGACACACATGGGAGGAAAAGACAGTGTTCAAGTCATGAAGCATGAAGTCTTCCAGTTCATTTTTACAATTGTTTCAAGCAGCTAAGCCATCATGCAGTCCTCTAAAAAGATTTTGATCAACAGCTCTACCTATTTTCTAAAAGTAGACTCACTGTTGCAGAAGATTTCATCCGAATTGTCTCCACAGTCATCCTGCCCATTGCACCAGGAATTATGCCCCACGCAGCGTCCATTTGCACACCGCCTGTAGCCCTTCTTGCACACGCGATTAGCTGAGATCCAAAGACATATATGAAATTACAAATATCAGGAATAAAAAAAAGGAAAATGTCTTACAGAGGGAAAGATTGTACTCACCACAGTAGGACTGTTTCTCGTCAGACTTGTCTTTGCAGTGAGCCACGCCATCACAAGTCTGAGTGTAGTTGACGCAGTCTCCGTTTCCACACTCAAACTCATCGACGCCAGTACACGTGGAGTTGACGCCTGAGGCAGAAACAGAAACGAGCAGAAATGAAACACAAGAAATTGAACTGAAACAAAAAGTATAGCTCTAAACTTCTATTTCTTTATTTTTATTCAAAATGGAATGGAATGTCGGGACTATTTATATCTTCAACTGCTAGCTCTTCCATTGGTTGTGATTTTATCAAGTTATAATCAATAAGCAGAGGAGAAAGATGAGCCGATACCGAAAACATTCTCCTGAAATAAAGTCTTGTAAACACTGATGTTAGGCTAGATTTGGTCTTAATGAATGTGGTTCTGCTTGTACCAGTGCAGGTGTTGTCTTCCAGAAGCTTTCGGTCGCCTCGGCAGCTGCAGGTAACTCTTCCTTCAGAGCTCAGCAGACAGAGGTCCTGACATCCTCCGTTATTGAAGCGACACAGAGAGAACTCACCTGTTAGAATATTAGGATGTTAGAAACACACAATGCCACACATGATACTTAGAATTCAGTGAAAATGATGACAAAACAGTTCATCAAATAATAATCATACAGGATCCCAAGAGGAAAGTCTAGATTTTTCTCATGCACAAACATTGAGCCTTAAGCTGCTGATTTCTATAGGTACCTAAATTATTTTATTTCAAATCACTCTATCTAGATAGTTCTATTTCACAACACATGCCATCTTTACAAGAACAATTCCATTAAAGAATTCACACAGAAAGCTAAGGAAACCTTCTATCTGGAATGAAAATTAAGAAAATCTTAACCAGACTTTATTATAGAATAGGTTTAAGATAAACAATCAGTTTGTTTGACTTCAGATTTCCATATAAATATGTCAGTTACTGAATAAATCAAATATCCCTTTACTAAAACATTTAGAAATTTAAAGACAATATTTTAAAAGTGAAACATGTCACCAGAGGTATCTAGCATTGATATTCTGTTATTTTAACATAATATCTAGACCCCTAAGGAAATAATATTGTTTTACAAATTAAAGAGTAACTAAACCAGATGTAAAAGCATAACTCTGCCAAGAGATATTTTGGAAAATGTCACCATGGCTAACTATGGGGATGATTGCAGGGAGTTAAGCTGGGCTGTGGTTCAGATAAGATGATGAGACAGTAAATTGAATATGACTAAATAATGGAAGGAGTAATAGGTAGTAAAAATGCACACCTGGGAAAAGCAGTTGATCAGTGCTCCGTATTGCAGCAATTCTAACCCCTGAGTCACTATATGGTGTGTTCAAATGAGATTTATGGTGCGTTCAATTAATACTCAGAAATCAGAATGTCATGGAGAGCAGTGGTCATAGTTACGGTTGTAAGAGTCCTTCATAGCCATTTAAAATTATATAGTGATTACACTGATTAAATGTAATTCGATTAAAGAATGGATTTGCTAGAGTGAGATTGTATACTGTAATACAAGGGGACCTTATCTAGGACCTTGCCTAGACATCTTTATCCTTAGGGGTTAAAAATATTGGGCACCCTTCATAAATGTAGTACGGTAATTAAACTGCATCAAATAAGCGCTAAAATGCTGCTGATTTCATGAGTAGATAAAAATGGGCATTTATCAGCTTTTTATTCTGATCTCAGATGTGGTCTCCCCTCCCCTCTGGAGAAGCAGGACGCTGCCTGTCAGCCTCTATGAGAAAATGTGAAGATATGAGCCTCAGTCTGTTGAAGTAAGCAGCAAGAAAGTAGAGCCCATAATGGATAATACTGCAAAATACGTCACTTCCAGTGATGTTAAACCTCTTATGGGATCTATGGAGCAGGGGCGGGTCATGAAGCGGGCTGCTTGATGCTGATTTGCCAACATCTTTAAGGATTTGTGACTGCCGGGGGCCAGACAGTGAGAAGGTTTTCCTCATGAGAGGGAAAAGTGATCATTCAGTCAGAATTGTCATCTTGTGCTGAACTCTTGCAGTAGTTTCTGGAGTTTATTATTTTAAGAGAGCTTCACTGCAGCTATTTCACCAGTGATGTATTTGATGTGTTTTCTACATTTAATTCAATACGTGATGTTTGGATTTAATTAACACCATTGAGCCTCCCCTGTTTCAGAGAGAAGCAGTAGCCACTACCTGCAGGTAATTCTTGCATTAGGAAGAAATCCCTTCTTTAGATTTACTTTTCACTCGTAGACAACAAAATCAATCCTTTCCTGTTTTTATCTTGTGGTCTTTCGTTGAAAATATACATCCAGACATGGCAAGAGTGATTAGCAAAGACAAACCTTTTTTTGCTGAATTAATGTATCATAATATGAACAAAAACTGTACCTAGATCAGACATTGACGTGCATTACACCCTTTAGAGCATCCATGCAAAGAGCTGCAATCAATAGTAACACAATCCCTCTTAGCAATTCCCACATCTCACTGAACCCAGACTTACAACTGTTGGTGTCATTGGCCACAGCGACAATACCCATGGGCTGCTGGGGGATGTCAGCACGCAACACCTTCATTTCACCACCAGTGTATTTGTCAGCCCTAAGCACAGCCCTCCTGACCCAGTCTGTCCAGAAGATGTAGTCTCCGTATACAGCCAGGCCAAACGGATGAACCGGCTCGTTCTTTAGCACCACCTAAGGAAGAAACAGTGATTCATTGGTGTGTAAGAAAATCAAAGGCGCATTAAACCACTATTATTATTATACCATTAGCACAGCCAAACTATTTTCTGATATCTTTCTTACGTATCTCCGGCTGCCGTCATACTCGCAACGCTCAATCTTGTCAAGAGTGGCATCTGAGAAATACAGCTTCTCAGCTCGGTGGTCGATGGCCAGCCCGTTGGGGGTTCTGATATGTGTGTTAATGATCACCAGGACGTTTGAACCTGCTAGTGTTGCACGCATGATGCTGGGAGACTGCTCATTCCAATTGGTCCAAAACATCAGGCTGTAGGCAGAGACAGAGTGATATTAACATGGACAGACCTACGTGCATTTGTCTGTAGATTAAGCGAAGAGCATCAGCTGACCTCTGACACTCGTCAAGCACGAAGGCCCTTGGGTGGTCGTCTCCAGACATGGTGACCACGACGTTCCGATCGACAGCGCCCCAGCGGCTTTGGTCCACAGTGTGACGGGTGATGGTTGAGGTGGTGAAGCTGGTCCAGTATAACATATCCCAGCCCCTGTGGTATGCCAGACCTTCCACAGAGCCCACATCTGAGAAAGAATGGAGGAGACAGGGTCAGCATGTCAGTCACAGGTTATATTCAAATGATGGATGGATGAATGGATGGCTTGATGGATGAATGGACGGATGTTTGAATGGACGCTTTCATTTAATTTCCAAAACTTATTAAGACCTGAAAAACTCCTACATTGTAATGCCATGTTTTCCAGGATTCTGCAGAAACACTGTTTATAATACTGAAAGAAGTCTCTTCTCTGGGCTTGTTGTGACCTCACTGAGTCACTCCTCCCAACAACCCAGCGAGGCTCTCTGCCAGATGAGACACATCTTCAGTCTAACACCAGACATGATTCACTATTTCTGTTATGAATGTTGAAGTTTTGAGAAAAGCAATGCTGCTGGGAAGTTGAGAAACTTGCCAATCGACTCCTTGATTCATAAACCACTGCACAAAAAATCAATGCAAATATATTTCACTTTTTCCCATGTCATTTTTCTTTACAGCTTTAAATAAGTTGCAAAACTGTAACTTCTATTGCTTCAACCAAACCTTCCTCACCTTTTTGATGACCCCAAATAGCTAAGTATCCATACATTTGTTGTATTACTCACATAGATGCCTTCCTTAATGATGGCTTTTCTGACACGGATTGGAAGGTGGCTGCCTGCAATAGGTGTTATAGCTTCCTCACTGTTTGCTATCAGACTGGGAGTCAATTATTAGCCAGATTTTTGCAGGCGAACTTAGTTTCACTGACACTTCTTGTTTGTTTACAGTATCTATGCATGTTTTGTACATGCATGCACAAGGACAACGCTTCTAAACAATCTTATCCTTTCAGATAAGGTGCTGATATGATGAAGCATGGGAAAAAAAACTTTGCTAGGCCCCATTAGGTCCTCCCACAGAGAGCCGACCAACCCATTTCTGGCGTGATGTCTCATAATCAGTCCAGAGTTCACTTGCTACTTATTCGCTTACTGTCAAGCTTTTGACCGGTCTCCATTCACCTGCTGCCAACCTTGTGATTTTTGGGATATCCCTCTCTCTCCCACGAGCAGGGGGTTGTGGATCAATATGTGGAGCTGCAGGCTGCTGTGAGGTGTCAGGAAATCACAGATCTCAACTGGCTTACATTTCAGCTCAACAGGATAACAAATAGGGGCAGAAGAGCAACTGGGGGTGTGTAAGCTTCTACAAAGGCATCACTGTAGCAAGCTGACTGGAAGGTACATGGATAATAGATGCAACAATACACAATTGTGTCATGTCTTGATGGGAGCATATAAAGAAGCAGGTGTTTATCCAGGTTTAACAATCACCTTCTCCTCTGAAAACCGGCTGGTAATTGTCAGCAAACTTTTGGTTGAATGTCTGGATATCTGTGTGATGTTATTTCTCGACAGACTGTTATTGACTATGAGTAATCATTCCTGTATTTATTATCAGCTGTTTTATGACTGGTTGAGCGAAAAGACCAAACAAAGCTAGCTTCGGTGAGTCTTATCAGTGTCAGGATGACCGGAACTGAGGACGGCATGCTGAACTCTTCAGGTTCCGATGGTTTGCTGGGGAACAGCAGCAACGCTGGGATGACCAGTGTGGAGCAGATCCTCGTCCCCATACTGGATTCACTTATTCTAATTCTGGGAATTACTGGACACACTTTAGTGATGGTGATACTGTGTGGACGGCAGAGGAGGGGTTTAGGACAAGCCCCCCGGGGCTCCATGATGAACACAGGGACGGACATACTCCTGCTGGCTCTGAGTGCGGCAGATCTGCTTCTGCTTTTCACAATTCCCTTCCAAACCGTTTCCATAGCCATGCAGAGGTGGCCCTTTGGGAACTTCATGTGCCGTCTGGTGGGCTTCTTGGGTTCTGCCTGCTCATCTGCCAGTGTCTTCACCTTGGCGGCTCTGGCTGTGTCCCGTTACCTGACCGTGGTGAAGCCCACCAGGGCGTACAGTTTGCTCACACCCCGCAGGGTCTCCATCATCGCTTTCCTGATTTGGGTTCCAGCCTGCTGCCTTGGAGCCCCTCAGCTGGTTTTCCGCTCTGTGGGACCCCCTCGACAAACCCCTGACGGCCTTGCCTGTTTTGCATTCCTGTCCCAGCAGCAGCAGATGATCTATGGAGTATTTCATTTCCTCGCAGCCTTCATGCTTCCACTCATCACCATCGCAGTGGCATACGGCAGCATCTATGTGTTCCTGTGGCGGGGCCAACATGCCGGCAGGACCCCTCAATTAGAGCGCTATCAAAGCAAAGTGACCCAAACAACAGCCATGCTGGTGCTGGCTTTTACTCTGTGCTGGCTGCCCTCGTATGGACTGACTCTGGCCTTACTGGCGGATAACAACTCAGGGGCAACAGGGGCCACGCCGCGTTACGGTGCCTTTAGTGTGTTTGCACGCCTAATGGCAACCTCCTCCACGGTAATGAACCCCTGCCTCTATGTGCTGATGTCCCAAAAGTTCAGACAAGATCTGCTGAGAATTTTCAAGATGAAGCGTCGAAAAGTAAAGACCAACGTGGCGATGTCTGCAGTCTGACTCACCCAATGAAAAAACAAACTTAATTAGCTCTAGATCCAATGTCTCAAAGCAGCAATCTGCTGAACTTTAAATATTAAGCCACTGTGTGACGGTCCCAAAGCTTGGGACCTGTGTCAGGTTGGATTGTAAGAACAGTAGGAAAAACTCATTCGGAATCACACTTCCCAGGCAGAAAAGACAAAGAAAACACCATAAGAAAACTGCAGGGGGACACAGTGAACATACTGTACTAAGGAATGTGCCCTGAAACCTGACAACACATCACTCTGAGCTAAAACACCCCTGTATTGAAAAAGTGTGGTTGTAGTATCATGCAACATTTGAGTATTGATACTTTTTGGAGTACTGATATTTTTGACTTTTTTTAAATATAACCATATTAATGGATTGTTTTGTTAACTGATGCATGAGATTTGTTGACCAGGCTAGCTACCATCAGCAGTACAAAGAACTCTTATCTTAACATCACAGCAATTAGTTTAATAAATAATGTTGAGTGGTTGAAGTATGTGACTTATAGATATAAATTATAAGAATTGAGGAAAACAAATGTTGCTTTTGTTCTTATTTTACTACTTTTGTAATGAAGAAGGTTTACAAACATGGTGTCCATATTGGATTTGAGTTTGGGGTTGGTAACCCACTTGAACCTCTGACTATAAAACTGTAAATATCAGATTCAGAATAACAAGGAAGCATGAAATTAAACTGCGTTATCTGACTAATTATGCAAAGCTATGGAATAATAACTAAACAACCTGTTTACGGCAGCCTAATTTCTGTCAGTGAGGCCCAGGGCAGCTGTGGTTACAATGCGGCTTGCCACCATCAGTGTTTGTGTGAATTGGTGAAACACTGAATGTAATGTAAAGTGCTTTGGTCCAGTCTCCTGACTATGTAAATACGGGCCATTTACCATATTTACTTAGGCGTTGTCCTTGCAATAAGATTTGAGACAACAATCATATTCACGAGTAAATTACCTGTTTAAAGTCCAAACTTATATCTAGTTTAAAAAATTGTGTTAACAGACATTTTTTGTCCAATCTTACTGAGCTATTTTGCAAAGAGACACAAATCTTCATTTATTCTTCATTTATTCTTTAGTCATAAGAAGTCCTTTGGGTGTGGCTGGTTATAAGCACAGTAGGAGAACCAATTCTCAATCACATTCCTTGTAAAAAGATGAAAGGAAAAGCACTTTGGTAAAACATTAACACAGCACCTGTGTTTTGTTGCGCCGAGATAAGGTAAAAGAAGGTCTACTTGTCCCTGGACCTGTTTATGTTCCTGCCCATTCTGTTCTCGAAGCACGGATCAAAAGGAATTGCTCTCTTTTTTCATTTTGGGTTTGGCAACGACTTAAGAAGAAAGATTTCCTGGTTCTGTTTAGATAAATGGGAGTTTTTGTCAAAATTCATGCAGCTCTCCTCTCCAGGAAGATTTCTCATCAGGGGGTTGATGTTTAAACACAGGCCCACCTTTTAAGACTAAAGGAAAGAGACACGGGGGAAAATGGTTTTGGCAAATAACAGGGTTTGTGTCTTGGAGGAGAGTGTGGGAAAGCAAAAAGATAAATAGAGAAAATAGCAAGACCTTGCACATGTAGCCTCGCCCTCAAACGTCTGTGTATTTATCCTGTTAAAAACATAAACTTAAACATATTTTCATGCAGATTTTATTATAGAAACCAGGAGAAAGCTGTGACATGCACCAGTTTCCTTCACTCATGCAGCTAGATAATGTCTAGCCCTACCAAAAGCCTTCTATGTCAACTAATACGCACTGATACCAACAATGATCCATGTATTCAACCAATAGGGATCCATGTTTTCAGTAAAGGCCTCAGAGTTTGGTCATAGAACATAGGTGATCAAACACCATCAGAAACACCAAGGAGGTTTTAAAAAATTTTGAGGGAAGGTGGAGTTTGGAAACAGTCAAAGCTTTTAGCATTTCTGCCTTATTTGAGCTTTTAAGACATTTCGCTCAATCTAAACCTATATGTATATAGTAAGGCTAGGATGCAAGGGTTTAGGTCTGAGTCTGAAACCTGCAACTAAGATGCCCTACAGGGAGTAACAATTATTATGGCCAAAAGTTATCAAGGCTGGAACTGTGTTTTAAATATATAAATGCAGTGAAAAGAAGAAAAGTTTCTGAAGTTTTTTTTTTGCTGTTGTTGTTTTCTGGGGGGGAGTTTTCATGAAATATCAATGCAAATTATTTCCACAACTAAATAACCCTTCTAGTAAACCAGGTAATTGTCAGTCTTTTGTTTAGCTGAAACAAGGTGAAAAGTTAAATTTTTCTTTTAAGCTTTCTAAATGGGGTACTATATGGCCTCTCTGACATTTTTGTTTTGGGGGGACACTTAATTGATTGTGAACATATTTGTGTAGATGGTAAAGACTGCTAAACTTAGGTTAAGGTTGATGAATAGATGTTGGTTACTATAGTCCTGTCGAGACATAAGTTGCTCTCAATCAGTTCTGCCTCAGCCTATACTAATTAACAAAGGGAAATGCGTAGAAATTCCAGGCAATAGATGCACAAAGCCATTAGAGACAAAAACCAAAACACATGTAGCTGAAAAATGATTGATTGATATTTGCCAAATTTATAACATGATATATACCTCTCCATCTACTTTTCACAAGTGCACTTATACACTTCTTTGTGTTGCTTTGTCATATGACACCTAAATAAGATCCACTGAAGTTTGCTGGTTATGTTTCAAAATGTGAAAATGTTTATGAGGTATGACTGTAAAAGGTTGGGTTAAAGATCCAAAACCAGAGATGAAAAGTGGGAAGAACTCACTCTCTACAATGGTTCTGCGGTCCAACCCATCATCGCTGATCTGCTGGATGTTACCGAAGTGAATGTCGCTGAAGAAGATGCGGTTTGCTCCTTTACCGCCTCCTCCTCTATAATCAAATGTCAGCGCTATGATGTTCTTCATGTGATCGGGATCTTCAAACGGCTTTATGGGCGCGTTCAGGTTGTTCTCGTCCGACAGGTGGACGCTCTTTAGTATGGTGCGCTCCGAATAGAGAAGGTATCCGTCATAGTCGCGGCATCGGCAGCCATCTTCCGCTAGCATGCCATGAGCGCAGGCGCATGTTCGCTGGCCGTTGCCACGGTAAAGACAAAGCTGTTCGCAGCCGCCATTTTTCACTTTGCAAACATTTGTTCCTGTGAAAGATGGCAAAATGAGAAACAGTTTTTAGGAAAAAAAATCAAATTATAGATACTTTTATTCTTTGGTTTTGCTTACCTTGCTGCCTGGCTCTGTTGAAAACCTTGATATCTTTAAGCTGCACCCCAATACCAGTTCTCAGAGAGACGGATTCTGTTGCATTATCTTTACTGCCTCTCTTAATAGAACCATTAGCATGTGTCCTGTATATAAAAAGGAAGAATCGAACAAGAGTTGATGAATGAAAATATGAAGAAAAACATCCTGAGCAGCTGTGACGTATCTGACCTATCACTCCAGTAGATGTAGCTCTCAAACAGAGAAACAGAGAACATGTCCATGTTATTGCTGGCCAGCACCACCTCCCTGTTTTCTCCAGTCTCCAAGTTAATTCGCTCAATCTTGTCTGTCCTGGCATCACACCAGTACAGCAGACCCTCCTATGGACAAAAACAAAGTAATCATGCTCCCTGCACTTCAAATATAAGCTGATCATTAGTTGTGGCCTACCTTATAGTCAATAGAGATGCCGTTGGGCCAGCTAATACTAGCGTTGACCAGAATGGCCCTCTGTGAACCATCCAGGCGAGAGCGTTCAATGCGGGGGTACTGACCCCATTCTGTCCAGAACAGGTAGCTGCATCCAAGAACATGCAGGGAAAGAGAAACACTCTGAGATGGCTTTATTTCTAATCAGTACATATAAATCTTAAGATGAGGTGATTATAATGCACTGTGTGTATTCTTTTAGAAGCCTCACCCTTTCTCAGGATGTACTGTGATGGCGCGCGGCTTGTCCAGGCCCTGGGAGATCACCACATAACGGAAGGAGCCATTCAGTCGAGCCACTTCGATCACATCAAACCCTTGGTCGGTCCAATAGATGTTTCCTTTTGTTGGACAGAGGAGAAACATTGATCCATAGACAGATCTGTGGGCAGGATGTAACTATGTATGATGGAACACTTTTCAAATCTATTATCTCTGCCATCTTATTCAGCTGGAGAAAAGTCTAGTCTTTTTTATCGGTCTCCTTTTTATTGCAAGGTTGTCATATTTTGTCCCTAAAGAGAGCTGAGTCAACTTCAAATAAAAACATAATGCCATGATAGCAGGGTTTATTACCCACCCTAAGTGAACTTTTAAGCTATTCCTTAAAATTCAACCAGAGTATGGTTGCTAACAGGAATGAATATTATTTCTCCACTTTTCTTCAAGGAATTATTAACAAAAAAAGATTTTGCAAACATTTTTCTAACAACTGTGACATATTTGCCATTTCTGTGCATTTGAAACTATATTATAGATAAGGCATCCAATTTTGCTATTTTAAAAAATCTTAATTTTTCCTTATATTGTTTTTTTTTTCTTTAAAACGATTTTCATAAATAAGAGACTGCAACGGCTGCTGCAGCTTCCTCTCTGTCTGCATCATGCTATTTGCATACTGCAGGGAATCACAAAACCTAACTGGAGCATGAGTCAGAAAAATTCAGGACATAGAGAAGCACTTTTTCTTTAAGTTTTGTCCTCACGGTAAACTTAAAGATGATACCACCAACTAAGCACAGCTTACCAAAGCACAACAAAAATGCTACCATTAGGCTAAAACTTTAGCAATCTGCAAGAGCGTAATTTCCATGGGGGGATTAAGGGGATTATGGCCCCTATCCAATCAATATCATCCCAATATATATATAAAAAAAACCACATTACTAATTATTTATAAAATTATCTCACATAACTGACAGATTACTTTTATTCATTTTCGATTACTAGTAAAATAGAAATTTCCCCTATGCTGCCCAAAACTAGGTCCCATTCAGCCCATTTACCAAGCATTCACTGTTTGCTGTACTTTTGACACAGTCGCTAGTGCTAGTGGTTGGACTGTGAAACCATGAAAAGAGGCATAAAAAGCAGAAATAAATATTTTTTTAACTTGTGACTATTTTTGATATAGCACAAAATCAACCAACAGAAGATATTTAGAACTACGTCTCTGCAAAAAAAGATTAAGCTCAAAACTAAAAATAGATTTTCCATTTTAACAAAAAGCATTTTTATTTTTCTTGTTTTCCCTATGATCATTGTCTGCTTTACCTAAACCTGACTATGGGTCAAAAAGGAAAGAAGACATAACAATAGCTCCTTTCATAACATTGCACTGTGGCTTAGTGCTGTTCATGAATAACACAATTCTTGCGAAGACCTCAACCCCCCTAAAGGGAGACCCAAAGTTACGCCATCGACATGGTTTGAGTCTCACTGAGATTATGGTTGAGTGTTGGATGAGGTATATGATAACAAACCATGGATACGCTAGGTTTAATGTGATAGGGTTGGTGCAGCGTACAGCAACTGATCTGCGGAGGGTTTTGCTTCAAGTAGGGCCCTCAATGCCCTGAGGAACTGACTCCAGCAGCAGCACCACCTTAGTGAATCTCACTGAAAACTTTCAAGTGCAGTCAAACCTTCTAGTTATATGTTTATCTATGCAACTAGTGCACCCTCACAATACCAAGCCTCCACTCAACTTTCAAATGAATTAAAATGCTTAAATACAACACCCTATGAAAAGTTAGCCTTCTTAGCAATGAGCCTTTGTGGTCCCCTATTTATGTGGCGGGTCTGGATAACTGTCTGCTGGACAGTCCATCCATCCATCTTTTGTCATGCTTTATCCCTACATGATAATGTTGTACGATATAATGTAATGTTTCTGTATTGGGGTCCCTTCTTTATTAAGTTGATATAACCTAATTTATTTAAAAAGGTTTGGGTTTTCTACAAATAATAGCCATTTAAATGAAAAGAAAAAAACTACTATAACTGTAACTATTCTAGGAGGTAGGAGTTTCATTTTAAATTGAATTTAAAAAAAAACTTCAATAATTTCTACAAAATTTTGACAGTAATGTTCTTGTTCTTAGTTTTTCTTTTTTTTCATTTGAGTTTAACAGTTGAAAAATAAAATGGTTTTCCAATAACTGAAGCGTGTCTTTGTAAATTTCAGTTGTTACATTCAATCCCATTTGACGCCTCCTACCAGCTATCCAGTCAACAGCTATTCCCTCGACTCTCCCAATGCCGTTGGTAACCACGTCTTCCCTCCAGGTCTGGTCCCTCTTGGCTCTGCTGATGGTGCTCAGGCCCATATCCACCCAGTAGATTGTGTCATTCTCTGTAGGAATGAAAAGAAACAAGCTTCCAATAATTCTAAATAATATAGAGTCCTGGTTAACTTGTAAATGAACATTTTAACTTGAAGGATATAGAAGAAAAATATCAGATTTATGGGCAGCCTTACCAGCATGAAAATCTATGCCAACAGCTAGTGAGGTGCCAGAAACTGGAACCAGTGCATCGGATTTGTCTGAGGGGTCCAAAGGAATACCCCTAATGCCTTCATGAACAGAGTACAGAAGGAAGGACCCCACTCCTGCAGCAGACAAACACAGCGGCCCTTTCAAATCTCCGAACCACTCTCTGACCATAAATATCAGCTTGTGAAACAGAATTGGCTTGAAATGAGGATCTCTGTATGCAAGCAAGCACATCCTACCCTCGCAGGACTGCTCCCCGGTCCGTAAACTGTATCCCGCAGTGCACATGCAGGCTCTAGTGGTCGGGGATGTGGGGAGGCACAGCTGGGAACAGTCTCCATTGTTTTTGCTGCAGAGATTGGTGCCTGGTAGCCACAAAGAAAAAAGAAAAAATACAAAAAAACAAAACCAAGATGAGTGACAGCAGCTTAAACAGAGGTGCTTGGGATAAACATTCTACATCCAGGCTTCAAATTAGACCCTCTGTGAGAAACAGATGCCCTTTTCTTATAAAGATCAAAAAAAGTTGCACCTTTCTGCACAGTTTCGTTGTAGATCTTCATGTGCATCATGGGTGATGTGCTGTTTCTCAGGACTTTCCAGTTGCCTCCATCTTTCTTATCACATGTTCCTATCAGGTCAGCTCCCTGATCTGCCCACCACAGCTTATCCCCTTTGGGTGAACATTACAAACACAGTGATTGGCAGTTTTTGCTGAAACCAAAGCTACATTTAAGCAGAATAGGTGACAGTAGGTGGGTATAAACATTTCAGAAGGTCATACCCATAATAGCCAGAGCGCTTCCCTTGATGAGTTTTCCCTTAGCTGCTTCAAGAAACTCCAGTTCAGAACCATCCAGTTTACAGCGGTTTATGGTGCTGTTTCCTGAACTGATCCAGTAGAGCTGCTCTGTGTCAAAGTCAATGGAAAGGCCTGGGAAAGACAAAAACAAATCATATGTATGACCAACTTTCTATCCTCGCCACTAGGGAGCGCTGTCCTGACGTCAAACAGGGACTGTAGGTTTCTCACCGATAGGGCCTTTCTGGTTGGTGAAGAGGACCCTGAGGTTGCTGCCATCTGTGTTGGCCATACTGATGTTGTCGCCATCTGTCCAGTACAGCTTCCTGATGCAACAACACACATTTACAGGATTTTTAAACAAATAACACCGTTTTTAGAGTTGCAAGCTTCATTTTACTATTCTAAGCAAAAGTATTCATACACAAGTTGTCATGTCAGTCTCAAACTTCTATGTCAGATGTCTTTCACAGGAATTTTGTCTGTGAAACAAATGATGCATGGGTTTCACATCATTTTTCAAATTAAAACCTAAAAAAAGGGCTTAGGATATGTTTCTACCACTTTGGGAGAACAAAAAGCACTTTTAAAAAATGCACCAGTTCTTCGTAGCAAAAAAATCTGATTAAATAGAAAAAAGTTCAAAACTTGCCAAAGTTTCCAAGCTTGATTTAGGCTAATCATTCAGGCTTTATGAGGAGGAACTCAACTTTTAACTCTTCGCAATGTTCTTCCTGACCTGTCTGCTGTGTTCCTCGTTCTTCTAACAAACCTATGAGGCCTTTATAGAACAGCTGGATTTATTATCTTTAAAAAAAAAAAAAAAACAGAGTTTGATATTATTTGCTCATTTACGGAATTGGTTGTGCTGGATGTTATTCAGGGGTGCCAGACTAAATGGAATGGATACTTTTCACCTTACTTCCCAGTTTTATGCTACGTTTATTTCAGGTAGAAATTATTTTCCCAATTTCATAACCTGCCTTTAATGTAACAGAATACCACCTACCAGACAGACTATAATATTGTGTTTCATTGGGTATACATTATCTCCCAGTGTATTATATATTAAATAGGTTTAACTTCCTGTTGATTGCAACAGGATCCAGACACACTCTTTAATACACTTGTTGACATGTTTCGAAATAAAAAAAAAAAAGAGCTAAGGCATTAAAGCCCACTCTCTTATGATTTTTTTTGTACAAACACAAGTTTATCCTGCCCCAACCTTTCTTGACTCCACCCACTACAGTTGGGGTCAAGTGTGTTTGTGTGGCAGAGAGAGCAGACAGCCCCAGCACATGGTTCTAACATCTGCTTCTCATTTTCTCCAACCCCAGCAACGCTCAGATCGCTAACAGCCCTCTGCCTTACCGAGTCCTTCAAAGACACGACGCAGTAAACAACAACACACACACTTTCCCAAATGCAAATAAAACACTGCAACATAGAAATTTTCGTGCATAACTTAGATACGGTGTATTTATAAGTACAGATGGTTTGTCTTTGCGCTGTCTGACTGAAAGGGAGGCTGGGGCCAAGTTCTGTTTGGAGATTAGGGGGGAGGAAGTTTCAGGAGGGGAAAAAAAATGAATGTTTTAAGTATCGCCAGAGGGGACAGGATGTAAGATAAACAAAGAGAACTGAAATGGAAAAAGAGACAGAAACACAGAGACACTGGCAGAGAATCAGACGTACAGTCTGAGTATCACAATAGAGAATAGAAGTAACCCAGGAGAATAATCAAATAAGAAAATACACTGTGAGAAGCCTCAGAGATTAGCAACCTGTTAGCTTCAGTACAAATTAAATAATAGTGACCGCATGAAAGGGGAGGATAATAAGAATCCACAGTAGAGTGTAATAAATATATTTTTTTACATGGATGATATGTATCTTCGGCCAGAGCAGAAGACCTGGGTACCCAAAAACAAAGTTGTCTGTTACTTTATTCCAAGCAACATTTTGTTGAGTGTTTCGTTTTACAGATTAATTGGATGTCCAGTCAGTGGGAAACTGCAACCAGGGAATTACATCATGTAAGTAAATATGTCATTATGAGGCTAAAACCTGAATCTGAGTTAAAGTTTCCAAGAAACTGCAGACTTAAAGGGTTTGCTCCCATTTTCAATGCAGGAAACTGAACTGCATTTAATCAAGTTTATTTCTAAATCCCAAAAAAATCTTTATTAATCCTAAACTCACTTCTTATACACTCAAAAGAGATTCTTCAATAAGAATTTTTTAATGTATTTTCTTTGTGGGCACTTTAAATTAAGACAAGCATGCTTTACTTTAAGTTTGTCATTTCAGAAAAGCTCAAGACTGACTTCAAAATGATGAATCTGATTTTGTTATTTAGGTGTTTGACAAGTTACACTGTTATTACTGAATGGTATGACAGGCCTTAATTATGTCATGGGTGTGTATTTGCTCCTGTGGGGGAATGCTTGGGCCAGAAAATATGGGGGTTAGCCAAAGCAGCATTTATAGAGGAAAGGCCACTAGCTGAAAGAAGGAAGGTGCTGGAGAGCTACTTCCAGCTTCCCTACAACTGAGAGCTTTATGATAGGCCTGTTTCTCTTCCTTTGTGTGAGTGTGTGGTACTGACCCCAGGATTGGATGCATCACCAGACAGTGTGGTTTGTCCAAGCCCTGGATAACAGCATTTTTAAAGGAGCCATCCAGTCTGGCGACGTTAATCTGCTTCTTATTGGCATCATAACTGGTCCAGAACAGGTTCCTAGACACCCAGTCCACTGCCAGGCCGTGTGTATTGGGTAGATCTAACGAAACACAAGAAATTTTAATTATTATTAGCTCTGGTGTTTCTATAAAAAAATAAAAATAAAACTCCAAAAGCTTTTCATTGAATCAGAGTTAAGACTAGAGTGATTGTTACTTCAGTATATCTTCTTATTATTGCTGCAGTGAGCCTTAGGGGTTGTGTTGTTAATACGCCACTGATTTATGAAGATATAGTGTTCAGATTACTAAGAAATTATACTGGAAATTTTAACATTTTATAAGTAATGTGTCTATATGGAAAAATGGACCTTAGGATGCTTTGCTACCTCTTAATTTCTCACTGAAACTGTAACTTAAGGACATTTTCTTGTTTCTGTAAATGGATTCATTAACATCCATGTCCACTGATGGGTTGCTAAGCTTTCTAATATCCTCTCTATCTAAAAAAAAAAAAAGGAAACTTTAATTTGTATCAGCCTTATTTTTATTAAAGAGTTGGAGACAAGAAGAACCAAACATCTTATCTTAAAAAACGGTCTAATTTGAATTTAAAAAAGGTAATGCAAATTTGTTAAATGTAATGATTTATGAAAATATTTGCATCAATGTTTTTATGAACTGGACTTTTCCTGTTGCTGCACAATATTAATACCATTTTCTGAACATTTTCAAGAGGGTATTTCCTTTGTTTTAAGACAAACTAGTCAAGCATGAAGTGGTTGGATGAATGTAATACAAATGTCTTAAATAATGCTCAGATAAAGTTTGTGTTTTTCTTTTTAGCATGTTTGACTGCAGACTTAAAACTCATATTTCTAATCATAAAGGGAAGTTATAGTTAAATAAAAAAAAAATCAATATGAAACATCTGGGTGTAATCTGTCCAAACCGACCTTCCCTTTACTAGACTAACAAGCCTTTAAAAGATGGCCTGCCTTGTCCTCTATCGTTTCCTTACCAGCAGAAACAACAGTCTCGACTCCGGTCCCGTTAATAAAAGCTCTCTTTATCGTTTTTGTTCGCACATCTGACCAATAGATGCGGTGCTCTAGAGCGTCGTAGTCCACCACAGTCACATTGTCGATGTCTGGCACAGTGAAGGAGATGATGTAGTTGTAGTATGGGTTGTCAATGTCCACTCCCCTGATCTCTATTTGTCGAGCATATAGCAGGAACTGACGAGACTCTGCAGGTGAGACAAAATGGTGACAGGCCCCCATTAGTGTTCAGTGAAATCAATCTTTTGGTAAATGCTGCAACAAGTCAAAAGGGGAATCTCTGAGAAGGAACTAATGCTGCAAGGATGAGTGCTCCTTTGTATCATTCCTGCTGCTTGAACAAACACTTAATTCAATTGGACTTTTGACTGAAGTGATCATATCTGGCAGGGTAACGCAATAGCACAGCAACAGCAGTGGGAGTAAATTCAATCAGTGCAAATACATAACTGATAGCATGAATTTAACAGTCAGAGCTCATTTAAAACTTTACGGCTTCAGTGACAGACAGAAAGGAATTGAAAGAGGAATTGAGATTGGGGACTAATGGCTCTGTCAGAATGAAACAATGGGTCACCGGATCCAATATCACAGAAGGTAATCGAGAAGCACACCCTGAATACTGCACTTTAACAAAAGATAAACAAGCTTGCTGCTACTTAGGGAGGAAAAACTATATTTTTTAGAGTTAAGACTTCCCCTCCACAGAGCTTCCTTTTTTGCAGACATGCAACAACAACAAAAAACAAACTTTTTTTGCTTTCATAATATGTGGTCAAACCTACCAAAGCATGTCCGTCTGTCGGGGCCCAACTTCATCAGGTGAGGACAAGCACATGAGAAAGTCTGATTGTAGTTGATCAGGCAGAGGTGGGAGCAGGGCTCTTTGCCATCTTTAGCTGCACACGGGTTGGGAGCTGGACAGATGAAACGAAAGAGTTCAGACTTGGAATGTGTACATGGTTATTTTATTTGGTGTAACTGATCTAGTATTTGTAACAGGAAATACTGATTAAGCCAGTTAGCATCCAGATAGGAGAGAAAAGGTTAAATACTGTAGTAATGGCAAGAAGGTTGGTATTTGCAAAATAGCTGATCTACTGGGATATTCATGCCCTGCCATCCTTCAGGTTTACAGAGAGAAGAGAAAAAACCAAAATAAACCTTATCGGTTAGAATATTTAATACCAACAAATTGACTGATAGGAGTGCTTTTGCTCTTTATTTGACCCCTGAGGTGCTTAAAATTGAAGCCTACTGTTTGCCTTACTAAATAAATGTAGTTCGTATTCCCACCAAGGTTGATTTTATTAATGCATAGGAATATAAACAATATTATATGAATGTAAAAATGCATATATATGTGTGTTTCAGATGTTTATTTGAACTATAAAACCAGGATTATCCTGCTCCCTAGAAAGCAATTCTGTTTGGTTTCTAAACCACCATTTTTAACAATGCACTTGGGTAACAGTTCTTCTTTTCTTATGAGTTACATTGGAATAGGTCATAATGGAGATGGCCAGGTTAGATGTGAAACAAATTGGAAATCAGTATTGACCGAGACAAACCTGCTTGATGCATCGCTGCAGTCAAAACAAAATGAAACCCGAAACGTGGGAATGTATAATACTAGAAGAATTGTGAGCTTTTCCCCTGTCTAGTAAATTTACAACAGATTTTGCCGCTACTAAGTGAGCAGTGAATGTGTGCACTTCCTACCTTGAGGCTGTCTGGATGGATGATAGACCTGCAGGTCAAAAGGTTGTGTATTGGTTCTCTGGACCACGGTCACATTGTTCCCAGTCCACTTGTTTGCCTTGGCAAGTGTGTTGGTTCTCCAGTCGGTCCAGTAAACCTCTCCACCGTACATGGTGACCGCAAACGGATGCGAGAGGTACTCATGGCCCCTCAGAACCTCGATCAGTCCAGAGCCATCATACTTAGCAGAATAAATGGCATCAGATCTGTGTAAGTAAAAATGTTAAATAATTTATACGTTTTATTCTTGGAAAACCATTTAATAAAATGTGAAGATAAAAGGCTACTTTTGTTGTTTGTTTTACCTGGCATCAATCCACAGGATGCGCCGCTCCAGATAATCCACAGTGAGTCCGTTAGGCCAGCCTCCGTTGCCCGTCTCCTTGTGGATTGTCTTCCTGCCTTCACCACTCATGGATGCAGCCTCAATCCTCGGCAAACTGGCGTCCCAGTCTGTCCAAAACAGAATTCTGCCAAAAACATAATTTTATCATTATAAGTTGTTTTCCTTGCTTTACTTTACAGAGGTTTAAATAAGCAGTACAGCTGTTACCCGTCGCGAGGGTCAAGAGCAATAGCCCTAGGGTGTTCCACCTCCCCAGCCAGCAGTGTAGTCCTCATGGTTCCATCCAACTTGGCTACCTCGATCTGATCAAGGTTGCTTTCCACCCAATAAATGTTTCCTGCTATCCAGTCCACTGCCAGACCCTCAGGTGTAGCGAGACCGTACTGGATCACTACATCAAAGCTGGTTAAAGCTGTAGAACAGGTATAGAAAATGACAAGAATTCAATTCAACATGCTGATTTTTATGAGGTTCTTCATCTGCAGCCATTTATCAAGTTGTATCGACTGAACTCTTCAAAGTTTTTTTTTTGTCTAAAGTCAAAATCAGTCTCTTAAATTCATTGTGCTATCAAGTGAAGCAGTTAATTATCTTGCGTGATTAAGGTATTTTGTTGTATTCTATTAAAATCCACGAAAGGTTTTGCAGGAATAATTCCGCTGATGCCATTTTTTTCAGATGTACAGTACTGTAGCCGACAGCATTGATCAGCTGGGATTTAGTACTTAGAAATCATGTAATTGTAATAAGTATCACAAACTGTCCACTAATGAAGTGTTTAGATGCCACGTTGAAGAGGAAACACATCAGCAAAAGAGGAAGTGACAGTACAATTACAGAGTAGCGCTGTAAAAACTAAATATGTGGTGTCAGGGCTAACAGCCCCCCTCTAACCCTTTAATTTGCCACTGCCCCCACTAATGAGAGAGATGCATAATTATTTAGGATGAGTCAGTATGCTGTTCAGAACAATGTTAACACAAACTTAAAAGCCAAACAGCTTTCTGTACTTATTTCATTGTTTCCCTCATGGTCTTTGCCTGTGTTGCTGGTTATAACTTTTCTGAAATGGAGTTAATGAAGTCTTTAAAAGAGAATCTTTTATTTTGTCATGGATGGTGCTCTCAGTTGTCTTAGTCACAAGAAAAGACAGACATTTGGGAGACTGAAGCAAAGGCAAATCAGGTAATAGCTATTCAGCCAAAAGCAGGTAAAACTTAAAGGTATCCAGATTAAAACTAGTCAAGCCAAAAGCTAAATAAGCTCAGAGGTACAGTAGTTTTCTAAAAACTAGTTCATATAAAAGCCAGTTAAAACTAATTGCTAGTCAAAATAAAAACTAAATTCAGCTCATGGTAAGTCAAACCAACATCTACAGTAGTTAGCTACCTTCCAAAAATGGTAAAAAAAACAAAACCATTCAATTGGCTTTTGTTTTTTTAAGTTTGAAGATGTTTCGCTTCCCATCCAGGAAGCTTTATCATTTCAAAATGTCTGAATTAGCATTGAGTTTAAAGCTTTATATCGCAGACCAAAACAGAGCCATGTTTTGGCTAAGAAAACATGCATGTTTTCTATATTTTGTATTATACTATGTTACTCTGACCATGTGTAGTGATGGTGATGGTAACGAAGACGAAGGTAAACGCATCAGCAAAGTCATCACTACCATTTTACACACTGCAGTTTAGTGCGTTTTATTATTATGGAATATAAAACATAACTTTCGCTTCCTCTTCCTGAGACACATTTAGTCACGATCAGGATGTATTACCGGCTGCGCCTCCATAAATGAGGGGATGGTACAGATTATTGATGACAGGTGGAGAACCAATTGCCTACTATATCTTTCCACAAGAATGGAAAGCAAGGAGATGCATTTAAAATGCTTTTATGTACTTAACTGGATTAAAAAAAACAGAAAAATTATCTAGTTTAAAATGGATGGGTTGTTTGGACATAGCCTGAGAGTAGTTCGTAATAAGCTACCTAATGTTTTGGTTTTGTCATCATTTATCCAATCTGATCTGTGTCTAACCTAACTGCAATCCATGCCTGTAGGATTTGTTTTGTATTAAGTTTAAAAACAAAACTCCAGAACATATCTCTCTATGATCTCTCTATAAGCTCATGATCGCCACTGAAGAATAACATAGACTGAAAATGCCAGAGAAAAGTAAAAGCTGCTTATCTGACAAGTGACTAAATCAAACATAATGACAGAAAATAGAGCAATTACCTCCATTCTCAGACAACTTTCCACGATAGATCTTGTCTTCCACCACATCAGTCCAGTAGAGGGAACTCTGGTTGAGATGGAAATCCAGGGCGATGGTGTTTCTGAGGCCGGGCACCAAGACACTGAACTCCCCCTTGTTCAAATCAATGCGCCGAATTTCATGGCGGTTTGAGAAAATAATAAATGGCTTGAAGGGATCTATAAAAACACAGGAAGAAAAGATAGGAAAATATCCCAGTGTTGTAGCAGTTTTTTCCCCCTAAAAATAATTTATACATTGTTATGAAATGTTTTACTTGTTCTTAATGAGGGTGATGATCAAGAGGAAGGTCACTAATTAAAAAAAATATATACCGGTATTTTTTTATTCAGCGTGTGAATTAGGACTGGTCTTTTATCCACATAGATGAAAACTTGCATTAAAGATCCTTCATAAAATCTATTTGTCTTAGAATCTGATGAGTCTAACGTCAAATTTAAATGTCACTATTCAAAGACGAATAAATATCTCACATTTTTCCAAACATGGTAGATGTTCCTGCAATGTTCCAAATAAGTTGTTTTCTTTTGTCCAGCCTTGACACATTTTTTGCAAATTTCCTTCTACTCTATTAACAAAGTACTCTCCAAAAGTATTGATACTTAATAGTATCATATTTTTTGCCTTTCAGAAATATACATCCAGTTCTCTCCGGAAGGAAGTAAAAGCTATCACATCGAATTGCTAATTGCTGACTGCTTCTTCCGTTACACAATGGATTCACGAGGTTGTGTCTTTTCTAAAGATAGAAAATAATAGATTTATAATGATTAGAAATAAAATAAAAAATTATAGTAACCTGCCACCATTTATTGACTGTTTTTTGGAGTGAACACAGCTAATTTTTTCGATTGTCTCTGCTCTGTTTAAACTTTTTCTTGCAAATGTGGGTATCTTCATTTACATCTGAATACACTTTAATTGAAGTTTAATTGTGTATCAGACAAATATAAATACAGTTTAGTTAATATAATACAGCTAAAGAAACAAAAAATTGTCCACATGACCCTGTGTGGAAAAGTAATTCCCTCTACACAAATTCCATCATTTCAGCAGGAAGTGACATAGTTGTGAAGGAAATGTGGATCACTCTTCTTTGCAGATTTGTTCCAGTATAACTGAGCCTTGCAGGATGGAGCCTCTGGTCAATGGGATGCAGAAACCTCTTAACATGATGCAGGTCTGACCTTTGACTCGGACACTATCTAATCCTTCATTCATACAGCAGAAAATCTCCAACAGAATTTGTTTCAAGAAACTTAAATTTCTTAGTCTATTTAATCCTGCGGTGGACTGGTCATAAATGATGCAGCATCACTACATCAGTCGCAGGCCTGAGATATAAGGTTTATAATAGTTTTTCAAAGGATGTTTCAACACTTAGTATACTTGTGTTCTTCAGTTATCTCTGTCCCAGTGCTCTAGTGCGAGCCGACAGAATTGACAAATACTCGTGGATAGTTGTCTGAACATCTTCAGAAAAACTGTGTGAAAGCCCGGTTCCATTTAATTTAAGCATGTTTTGTTGTTCAGACCAAGTGGTTTGTTAATTTTTTGGGTCTGGCGGTAATCAGGTCTGAATGAGACTTAACTGTTGTGGTTATTTCCCAATCTAACATCGGTGACCGTCATTATTCCAGCCTGATTGGTTGGGTGGCATTTTGCTCCTCAAAGAATATAAATTGTCATTACTCAGGTCATATTTCCCTAATATTGAAATGTTTTGAGGAACTGAAATCTGTTAGTCTGAACAAAAAAAATAACCAAGTGAAGTCATCTTCCCCATCTGAGAGCCAGTCTGTTAAATCCAGGCCACCGCTGCAAAAAGGACTTTTAATCTTACAACTCCAGCTTAAATACATGTATTCCGAGCAGTGCAGAAGAGCTCTGCCTTGCATTGTACTGAAGCTGGCAGTCATGTAACACATGCCCTGGGTGACTCTCCCTATAGAGGCTCTGCTTAAAGCTGCTTCAATCCTATGTAATGAAAACAGCGAGTAAATTAGCAGCAGTTATCTGGAGCTAACAGGCAGCCAGACAGGCAGCAGGATGAACAACAGCAGGCAGCTGGCTCATCTCTAAAGCCTGTCGGTGAGGAGCAGCCGGAGAAAGTCATGTTTCCTTCGTGAATATAGTTTATTCCTTTTATGCCGGTGATAAAATTGCAAACCATTTTAGAGGGCCCTGTTTCTTTTGATTGAACCCTCCAATTTTCAATTAATGTTTGCAGAAAATAACGTACCGGTACATTAAAAAAACTATAGCAGTATCTTCATGGTCTCTTAATGAACCTTCTGACCAACCAAAAACTTAGGTTGAGTACAGACATACTTTATGACTCTTTCAATCTGTAGAGTACATTATTTTGGGTTTGATGGTGTCATGATCTTGAAGCTGATGACTGACTTAATCATTAATTTCATTCACCTGTCCAATTCTGCCGGGTAGCTCATTACCTCTCATCTGATCCATCTGCTCCTGCCTGTATTTAAGGTGCTTGAATCCAGTCAACAGGGCCAGTTTATGTTGTTCTCTCTAGCAAGTGGTGAGAGGGTTTTTAGAGTTCCTTGGTGTCTCTCATTTTATGAGCCTGACCTGTTTTGCCTTTCAACCACTGAGGCTGCCTGTTCCCGTCTGATCTGTTTTCCTGAACTGTCTCTGGACTCCTGGACCTCTGAGCCTGTCTGTTCCTGGTCTGATCTGTTTGCCTGAACTGTCTTTGGACTCCTGGACCTCTGAGCCTGTCTGTTCCTGGTCTGATCTGTTTGCCTGACCTGGCTTGGGACTCCTTCATGTTCTCCTGGGTTGCAGCATCTGGGACACTCTAGGTGGCGCTTGCTGCATCGGGTTGGCAACCCACCGGCCGGATCCTACCTCTTTCTCTGGACATGGACTGAACTTGAAAACCAGGTTATAGATTCACAAGGATAAGCATCCTCCATCAGATTATCATGGTCACTAACCTGTGTTTCTCTCCTGCAGAGGTTACAGCCTTAGATGCCCTAGCTGCTGCTACTCCGATCTGCTGTTTTTAAATTAACACTTTTTGAGTAAGCCCACTATCTATCTTGCCTGAATACTGGGTCCTCTGTTCTGTGTTGTGACAGTCAGGCTCCACAGACAATGCAGTTTCTGCTAGGAGCTAATGTGTATATTCAGTCCGTGACCATCACATACAATTTTAAACTTCAGCTGAACTATGGCAACAACCATAATTGTGTACTTGTAAAGGTTGGGCTGTTATCCACCTCTGGGATATCAATTCCCAGAGCTATAGTGGCAAAATAGGACACAAAAAATACAACAGTTTCCAGTTACAGTCCTGTAGCTTTATCCAAATTCCTGTGATGATATGATTGAAAACTAAAATACCCTACCTTTATATAGATCCCCTTACTTAATATAGAAAATACTCCTTTAGTATAATATCATGTTCAGCAAGACCCTCATCCTCAAATTAATTAACAGCCTTCCAGTTTAGACTTTCTACAACCTTTTTTTAGTATTAATTAGTACAAGGTTAAGGTGTACAGAGCGCAGGATATTAAGACCAGATGTTTTTGCAATACGTTAGAGTTTATAGTACTCTCATGCACTCTAAAAATAGTTTTAGGAGCCTCTTAAAGAGAGAAACAGGCCCACAGCATCACAAATTCTCAATCTCCACCAAACTAAACAAGAGACACGTTTTTGTTTCACACCAGAAAACAAAATGTTAATCTTCTATCAACAAATCCTTAAATGCATGTGAATATTTTCTAATGGCTGTCATAGAGACCTGGTGTCCCCGGATGCCACGTTTAGCTGCAGCTAACAGTGAGCTTTGGAGTTTACATACACCTCCTTCCTCCTCCCTTTTTGTGACTGCAACATGAATGTAGGTCCTTGTCTAACCTTGTTTGCTCCAGCTCCTTTTCCATCAGCTTTCAAGTTTTAAATTATTATAGGGAAAGTTAGTCTATTTTCTTGCAGCCTTTTTTTTCTGACATATATATAAACACACATCTGCTTTGGTTGAATGGCATGCTATCCTGTCTTTCCCATTTTGAAGAGTCGCTGTGAGAAATTGGCCTCAAATACCAGAAGGAAACAGGAAGTCATGGATTGCTTTGCAGGGATTCGAAGTTAACTTGAAAGTAAAGCATGAATTAAAACAACGCAACTAGTGTTGACATTACTTCCTTGGACATGGTGTAGGACGCATGCTATTTAGAATTTCTTCTAAAAAAATTAATTTTTTTGCGTTTTTTTTTAAAAGAAATAATAATACTCAAATAAACCTTTTTTTAAGTTTTCAAAGTGATCTACTGTGACAGTAATAGTATTTTAGTATTTTATATAGAAGTCGCAATAGATATATTTTTGTGGGAGTGGTGGCCTAGTGGTTAGAGCATTGCACTCGGGTCCCAAGGTTCGGAGTTCAAGCCCCACTCTGGGTTCCTGAGCAAGACCCTCAATCCTGACACTGCTCCAGGCACGGCACAATGGCAGCCCACTGCTCCCTAAGGGGATGGGTTCAATGCAGAGTTTATTTGGATGCTTTGTACTTATGACAGTGTAACAACAATAAAGTTGAATTCTATTCTTCTATTATACAGACAGCATTGTATAAAGTAATATTTTTTTTTTTCCATTCACACTAATTGTTTAGATCGAACCCCATGTCTGTTTGAGTGGATCTGTTACCTGTGCTCTTGCAGCTCTCCATATCTGACTCAAGTTCCCAGCCATCGTAACAAGAGCATTTCACACTGAATTTGTCCTGTTCGCAACGCTGACTGCACTTCAGGTGTTTGGCGCAGAAGCTCTGTATCTGACAGGTCTTGTTGTCAGGGCCAAGCTCCATGCCCAGCGGACAGGAGCACATCACGCCCTCAATGGGAGACACCGTGCAGTTATGGCTACAGTCGCCGTTGTTCATAGAGCAAACATCTACAAAGAAAGAAATGATGAGGCCATGAAGGTTTTCCCTCCCAGTTCCTGGATACTGTTCTTTTCTTACCGCAAAGTTTCTCGTCAGAGCCATCTGGGCAGTCGTCGATGCCGTTGCAGATTTTCTCTGCAGACAGGCAGATGGTAGTGTTGCTGGCACACACGTGGTGGGAGAGCTTACACACCAGGGCATCGCAGTTTTCCTCATCCGAATTGTCCTCGCAGTCGCTGTCGCCGTCACAGACCCAAGCTTTACTGATGCAGCGAGCTGAGGACAGAAAGCCAGGTTAGGACTAAACTAGGCTTTTACCTACCTGACGTCTTTTTACGAGTCTCCTCACCGGAGTCTCTGCAGCCAAATTTGACAGTTGGATCACACATGGGTGTGACGCCCTCGCAGTTCTTCTCATCACTCATGTCCATGCAGTCGGTGTCTCCATCGCAGCGCCAGCGCAGCGGGATGCACAGGCTGTCCATCCGACACTGAAACTCATCGGTATGACAACCACCGGGTGGACGTGTGGCTATGAGGGGGAACAAAGAGGTTTTTTTTAGACATGAGCACGGATAAAGTGCAAAACCATGAAGCAGAAAGGTAACAGGAAGGGCAGTTTTAGCACAACAGATTACAGGACACATGGATTAGTCATCACTCCAGCTGAAATGTGAATCATTCTATTCTCCTCTTGCTACGTAAAAAAGCTGAATTATAATCAAACAGTACAATAATGAGATTGTGTATGCATGAGGCATTTTTTTTATGTGGGGATTGCTCTTCTGGCAATAAAAGTGTAAAATAACAATCTGAGGTAAAATGCAACAAACTACCCATGATAATAACAAACATCTGCTACAGGAGACTTTGATGAGCTCAATGCAACAGATAATAAAGACAAACCTAATAATCAGCTCATGCTGTATGAGCCCTTAGTCTATCTCCGTATAAAACGGTATTTGTGCTATTGGTGCTATCAAAGGAGCTTTTTATTTTAACCCATTGTAACGTTGCAGATTAGGGTTGAGGAATAAATGTTGGAAAATATTTAAAAGGCTCTTTCAAAAAAGTCACAATGACCATCAAAATTGTGGATAGATAAAATGTCAAAAAAGTGGAAATGTCCTAAAATCAATTACAGTGATTCGTAAAAACTGTTATAATGTCAAGAAGCAATTACAACAAAATTAATCAAGGAAGAATTTACAACATTGAGAAAAAATCTAATTAAGGAAAAATCATGAAACTGGTATGAAAAAGTAAAGATTTGACTGAACCCATTGAACCAAGTTTTAAGCCTGATTGGCTCAAACATAGGAGATACAAGGGAGCTTTGTGATTGGTGGCAAACCATCCCCTGTTTAAAAAAATGCATTTGTGTATTGAGGCACGTCAAGGGAGTGTCAAAGATCCACACACAAATGCAGGGAAGTTTAAAGACCACTGGCACTTTGTGATATAATTTATAATTTTTTTATGGATCAGAAATATTTTGGTGATCTTATTCTGTGCATGTGTGGATCTTGTGTGCTTGTGTGAATCATTCTGTACATCTTTGAATCTTGTCCTTTGCATGTGTAGATATTTTTGTGCTTGTGTGAATCGTGCTGTGTGTTTGTTGATCATGTCCTGTGCATATATGAGTCACATATGTGTATTTGTGAAAACTGAGACCGATCTAACTCCATACTATCTTCTTTCTCTGAGCAGTGAACAGGGCATACCAAACGTTATTAGGTTGCATTTACAAAAAACCCTCTTTTGTTTTGAAAGTTAAAATTAGAAGCAGAGGGGACACAAATAAAGAGACAATTTTAAAGGAAGCTATATTTTATGACATACAGTAGCAGCCATTCAAAAAGGCCCTTCCCAGTCAAATGCCAACAGAATGGCAACTCACTTCCATCCAACTTCCAGCCCCTGGAGTGACCCGCTCTTGCATTTCTTTTACTCTGACTCCACCCTTTCACTGAATTACAGGGTCTGACCAGGAGATAACGCTTCTCTTTAGATATTAATGTCCACATATCATGACAGAAAGAATATTTTAGTACAAATATTGATCTTTAAAAAGAAACTGAAGTGGGACCAGTCAAAGACCAGCTAAGGGCCCATCAAGGAAAGTGGGGGAATTTTGAATGGCTACTACTGTAGGAAGACATATCTGCTTTTCCTTCAAGCTGCAAAAAAGGAGTGTGAGACTTAAAGCTGGCAACACGAAGGCTCAATGGATTAAAGCAAAGATTCTTTGTTTTATTAAGATGCTAACTGCTACTATGCTAGAGTTGAAGATGTCCCTTTTTTTGTTTTCAAATAGAAAAACATCACTTTATATATTTTATAGCAACTGTTTCCTCACAGTAATGCAGACACTGCCTTCTATTGCGATATAAATGTTTAATGATTAACAGGAGAAAGTCTGGAAAGCTCAAAGTTCTGTCGAAATTAGAGATTGGTAATTAAGCCAAATTAACAACCTTTATTGAGGGTAATTTGACATTTTTCCAAGGTTTTGCACAGCACTGGAAATTGTTAGGCACTTCATTGTCTTTTGACATCCAATCTATTATGGACTATTAAGGCAGACGTGGTCATGGTCGAATGCTCTGTCAAAACAATACTGGCTAGAATGTTAAATTTTATAGACAACAGACTGGCTTAAATTACACAGTATGACTCTGGTGTTCTGCATGAAAAAAATCATCCTTAGTAACTATTTTAAAATGTGCTTCGAGCCGGTGAAATGGACCATGAGCTGATCAGCAGATAGAGACACAGACCCGTGTTGGTGCAGTTTGCATGGGTCTCGTCGCTGTAGTCCCCACAGTCATTATCTCCATCACAGGTCCAGTAATTAGGGATGCAGCGGCCGCTGTTACACTTGAACTGAGTGGTGGAGCAGGAGTGCCGACACCCAGCTTCATCACTGTTATCCCCACAGTCATTATCTGGAGAACAGACGGCAAACATCACTTACAGGTCAAACAATTGAGCAAATACAACCGATCCCTTAACACATAAGAGTGGAAGCAGACAATACAGAATATGAAAGATGAGAGTTTAAATGACAGAAACTGCATAGATCAGAACAGGCACCATTAGCGATGACAGATTGAGCTCTACGGCACAAAAACAGCTTTTTAAACTATTGGGTTTTCAAGTCTTATGAAAAAAAAAAGATACTTTGTAACTATTTACAACTGATGTCTTGCTGATGTCACAAATTTGATGGTGGGATCAAGTTTGTGTGCAGCACATCAGGAAAGAGGCGGAAAGCTGAGGTTTGTGTTGGGTCCAACATCTGTTGGAGGCTGAATGTCGGTTAGAGAAGAATCCCTGGCTGTCTCTAAGCCTTCACTGGTCAGTTTAAAAGCTTTGGCTAGCGCCATCACTGCTTTGGTGCATTCTGATCTATGCACTAACCGGTCAGCTTTGGACAATTCAACTCATCAGAGCCGTCGTCACAATCCTTTTCTGAAAGACAGAACCAACGGAAGACAGCACAGTGGGCGAACAGCACGACACAGGACAACAAAACCAAAATACACAAAATGAACAAGATGACATGACGCACAAGAGATAAAGGTCCGGTGATTAAACATGCAGGGCCAACTGTGACCGAGGGTACTACAGGGCTGCTACAGGATGAACCAAACAGAGAATAGACACTAACCATTATCACAGCGCCAGTTGATGTTGATGCAACGCCCATTGTTGCATGTAAACTGTGTGAGGGGGAAGCAGGTGGGGTAAGCTGCAAAAACAGACATTCAGAATTTAAACAGCGATCTGCTTTCACCTGATGAAGCAGCCTTTATAATATAACCTACAGTAACTAGAAGAAAACTAGAGTAACTTTCTGGATTTAATGTGTAATTAGAAAAGGAAGAGAATGAAAAGTGATGTGATTTCATTGTTTATACAATCTGCTCAGTTCTGCGAGGCAGCCTCCAAGTTAATAATGTGTAGAACCAGCCTTTGCTGCAATTACAGCTGCAAGTCTTTTTAGGGATATCCTCAGCTGCTTTGCACACCTGCAAACTGATTACTTTCCTTTATTTTAAAACCATTAAACTCTGTCAGATTAAAGTGAGAACACACATAAGCAGATATTTTCACATGAATGTTTTCTAAACCAGAAATTGCAGCCCTTTGTGTGTTCACAGTTGTCGTTCTGGAAGATGAAATTCGTTTGCAGCCTCTGCAGAGGTTTTCCTTCATGTTTGGCCCAAATGTTGCTCTTTACATTTCCTCATAAACTCTGTCAGGCTTCCCTGTAAAAAAAAAAAAAGCATCCCCACAGGGTAAATCTGCCTCAACCGTGTTACTAAGTGGAGTGTTCAGTGTCACCTGTCATTGACACATCGGGGGTTTGATGGCCTAGTGGTTAGGGCATAGAGCTTGGAATCCTGATGTTCTGAGTTCAAGCCCCACTCCCACCGACTGCCACTCTGGGTCTCCGAGCAAACCCCCTAACCCCACACTGCTCCCTGGGCGCCCCATGATGGCAGCTCATTGCTCCCCAAGGGGATGGGTTAAATGCAGAGGTAAATTTATCCAATGTGAGATGAATAAATTTAAAATATTAGAATGACCATGTAGGACAAGTTTAATTTTGAACACCTCACGCCTCATCTGTGTGAGTTTAAGAAGCTTTGGTAAACTGCTCATCTCCACTAGAATTACCATGGCTCTCTTTTCTACCTCCGCTGATTAATGACTCCTTATCCAGTCTGTCGGCTTAGATAAATGACCATGCCTTGATAGGGTTGCATACTTTCTATTAATATCCTTTTTTTTTGGCAGGGGGGTTCTTTCTCTTTGTGATACTTTTTGTTCAGTAATGTTTTCTAAAAAAACCTCTGAGGCCTTCACAGAACAGCTGGATTTATAATGAGATTACAACACACATGGGGAGACTGTTCAATAATATTTCAGTTGATTTCAGTTAGGGTATCAGATTAAAATGTGTTGGACAAACAAAACATGTTGAAAACAGGTATTAAGAAGCATATTTATGTTGTAGCAAACTATGAAAATGTTCCAGGTATATGAATACTTCTGCAGAGACTGAATGGCAGGACAATAAGTAGACCAACCACAGGATGCAGGCTCATCGGACCGATCGCCACAGTCATCATCCAGGTCACACGTCCAGGAGACGGGGATGCAGCGCCCACTAGTGCAGGAGAACTGGTTGGGTGGGCAGGTTCGGGCTATAGGGCAAAGAAACAAGAACGTGTGTGTTAAAAATTAAGAAGAAGAAATAAATGTTTGGAATATGATATGAATTATATAATAATATGACGAAGCATGTAGGTGCACCAGAGCAGGTGGTGTTGGATTCGTCCTCATCGTTGCCGCAGTCGTTGTCCCCGTCGCACAGCCAGCGCAGAGGGATGCAGCGGTTGTTCTTGCACTTAAATTTGTCAGCAGGGCAGGTGTGCTGGTCTTAACAGAGGAAATTCAAGAGATTATTATTTTTTTTTGGAAGGTTGATTTAGTTTGCAAAGAAAATATGTCCGCAGTTGACCGCACTGAAAAACAGCTTTTACATATCCACAGTCACTGCTCCAACTCTACTTACACAACAACACACATTAAGAACCTGTGCGCTTATCAGGTTTTATATCTGGTGTGTTGTCGACTTACGACATAAATCTGGAGTCTCATCACTGTTGTCAAGACAGTCGTTATCCCCGTCACATTTCCAGCGCTCCTGAATACAGCGGTTATTCTTGCAGGCAAACTCCCCTGGCTGGCACTGAGGTGGGGGAGCGTAAGACGGGTTGACTGAGAAACAGGAGAGAATAGAAGTCAAACATTTCCAGGACACAAAAACAATCCTTTCCATTAATGAAAAGTGGAAGTATTTTGAGGAAAAGCTCATCTATCTAAATATCTGAAACCCATTTGTCAAACCTTCCGCAAACCGGTGGCTGAGCTGTAATTGCTAATAAATCATAATACAGAAAGGGAATATTTAGGTTCATTTACAAAAAGAAAAAAATCATATTTCACCCCTTTCTAATATGCAGCTGTTCTTCTAGTGGTTTACCCTACATCCATCGTAGTGCAAAGAGTCCCAAAGCTCCACTTATCATGTCCCACCATGCAATGAAGCAAAACCGACCCTTTAAAAGACCCGACCTCTCCACTTTAAGAAAAAAATGCGAGAGCATGCACGGACACATTTCTCTTTGTGCACGACCTGTTTAAAATTTGCTGTTCTCATAGCTCAAACAAGCTTACTGTGTCCACATACAACAGGGACTATATAATGGACTTTATAGCCAACTCAGTTAACTGACCGTTCGGACAGATGATCACTGCTTTTTGCGCCATTGGTCACGTAACTTGTCCTCCACCGCATGGTGCCTGCGCCATTTTTGTTATTAGTAGTGACTGCCTATGGCGACTGCCTATCGCCTTATGTAAGCATATCACCAGAATGATTGATGATTGAGGACCACTTATTTTGATGATCCACCCAGAAATAAAAGATTGTTCTATATACCTTTAAATGCCATTCTAGAGTAATCATATTATATTAAATTTGGATCAGAACAAATTGATCTTAAATAAATAACAGTCGTTCTCATATTTTGATTTAGTTTCTTTTAGTAACTAACTGTGGAGGAAACCAAATGCCGCATCATAAAAGTTAGACGAGCATAGCTGTATAATATATCTGAGACATACTAAGAGTTAGAAAGTGGGGAGCAACAGCAGAAGCTAAACGTTATAGGACTGATCTTCAGAGGTTCTAAATAGCAAGTGATATTTGCATTTGCAAATCAGTTTGGTTCCACCCATCAGAATGAGTGGATTGCATGTTTACAGAAAGATTAAGAGGGGCCATAAAAAAGATGAGGTTCAAAGCCATATACATATACTGTAGTTGCAGGTAAGAATAATAATGATTGAAAGAAATTATTTAAACGTTAATTATAGTTATAGTGCATCACACATCTCTCAAAGTACTACAAACAAAAGTAAAAAAAAAATACATTTATGAAAATAACAAAAGTGAATACATAAAAAACATGAGCTATCTACATAAATATAAATATTATATATATATAATCTAAAAATATCTGTAGTTATTATTGCCACAAAGGAGTCATTGGTGCAACGACAGATGGTGGAGAGAGAATCTGTGCGTATGTAAACATAAAGCTGGACTGTCAGAAAACATATCAGAAAACATAAAAAGGCTGCGGGACGGTAGACAACCTGTATGCAAATAAACTACAAATGAAAAAAATTATGAAAATTAAATATTGCTGCATATCTATATATAAAATGTGACTATTAAAAGAGCCTGCAAAGAGAACTGCATGGCTTTGAAGATCATCTTTCCTTAATGGCGACTCTCAAACTGCCTGTGGAACATGCAAGCTGCTCATTTTAATGGTCAGAACTAAACCGCAGCAATCATTGTTGATCACCTGCAACATGCCACCTTATTGCACCTGCTAAAACAATTTACACCGGCAATTTGGCGCCTCTTATTTGGAATCTTTAAAGATCAGACCCTAAGCAGTGTAATAAAATCAGTAGAAGCTTTTACAAAGTATTTCTTTTTTCAGTAAGTGTGTACAGGATTATACATCCACCTTATGGTTTGTTTATTTACCCCCCAACATTTTTTTTATTTAGTTGTAGAGATTGTAGGTCACATTAAAGGGGGTAAAAATTAATAAAATAAGATATTTTAGTCACATTAGTTTTCATAAATCCTATATTTTAAAGATACCATACCTTTGCAAGTGGTATTGTCAGATGGGTCCAGTATTTGATCTTCTGCACAAGCACATTGTCTGCCTCCTGGTATGGCCAGACACAGACTGCTGCAGCCACCATTAAACACACGGCATTCATTAGATCCTGCAAAATAAAGGATATCAATTAATATTAAGGATATCAATTAATATCAGTGGTTTGAATTTTCAAAATTCTATTTTGAATCTTGTCCAGCACCTTGCTGCTGCTGAGCATCGTACATCCGAATTTCAAATATGGGAGGGCGCTCATTTCGAAGCAGGGTGGCCGTGCCGGTGGTGGTGTCCAGTTTGTAAATGCTGCCGCTTCTGTATTCGTTCCAGAACAAGAAGTGTTTATAGTGGCAGAGGCCGAAGGCGTGGTTCAGCTCGTTACCTTCGTACACCGTCTGATGGCAGAAAAGCACCCAGATGGAAAAGTTTACGTTTAATGATGCTAAAACATTTAGGTAGAACTTTTACAAACGAAACCTATCAAAGTTTTATCATTATTTCACCTTCTGAAGGAAAAAGGGCAATGACTTAAGCTCACAACACTGCTATCGTATATTATTGATGAGTCTAAAAATTCATTTTATTTAGCCTTAAACCTGAATATATTGTGTTTGTTATTTTGTATGTCTAATTATGTTTGGTTTTGTATGGGGACTCCACATAGAATAAAGTATTTCAGATGCATAGTGTTGTATTATGCTAGGGGCAAGTATTCTACTTAGGGGAGGGGTTCCGTTCATTCGTTGTTTCTAATAATCAAAAATTAAGGGTTTCATTTACAGTATATGATTGTCCTCAGGTGGTCGAATAGGTGAATTAATTGGATTAAACAGAAAGTAGGTCGGGTTGCTGTCAATTGGAACCACTTTCAACATTCTGCATTCCAAATTGAGGCAATCTTCATCAGTGCAAAGTGTTTGCACTGTGTTGCATGAGATTATGGAATGATTGCATGATCGCTGTACTTTGAGCAGCATTTGGGTAAACTCTGTATGGTATATGTGTTCAGTTTGTATAAAATATTTTTTTCCTAAGGCTGTACCTCATCTGACTAAAGAACTGAATTGAGGCAGAGCTATTATTCCTTTTTGGGCTTCTTAATATTTCCAAAAAGCTTTTTTTTTCAAATCCTGCACATATTTTGTCCAACATAGAGCAGCTCTACATTTACTAACAGCTATTTAAACATCAGATCATTAGAAACCTGCTACTGTAATTGTATTTTCAAATGATAGGGAAAAAAATATAATTCATTTATTCAATATAATCATGTTATGTCAGTTACTGTATTATGTATTTTAAACATACTATAAAACCATCAGCAAAGGCTACAAAATACTTTATACCAGTACGTTCACAGAAAGATCCAGATTCTATAACCTAGTCTTTAGTTGCTTTAGTCGTTTAGAACATAATCCTGGTCAGACCTTTCGTCCAGAATTGTTGAGATAGACCATCTCAATGCGGTCATAGTAGGCATCCACCCAGTAGAGGATGCCCTGTGGGATATCCAGGCTGAGTCCGTTGGGCCAAAGCACCGTTTTGCTTGTCAGGAAGACGTTTCTGTTGGAGCCGTCCATCCAGGCCCGCTCGATTTTGCCTCTTTTGCTCTCTTTGGGATCCTCTTCCCAATCTGTCCAATACATCCACCTGAGAAAGAACATTAGTAATTGTCACAGGAGAATCTCATGATTAAAAAAACAATATTTGCCTTCATATTTTTATCTTTTTTAGTCTTAAACAGTTTTGGAGCTTTGGAAAAAAAAACATACCGGTACATTGGGAATTACACTTTCTGTCCCCCAAAAAATCCTTATCCTTCATCAATTAAATTAAACTTTTAAATCAAATTATAAAACGTTGCAGCATTTAGCTAAGTCTAATATTCGCTGTTTGCAGTAACATGGCAGATATAACCACTCTTTTTCTTCAATCTTTTTGTCCTTTCTTTTCTCCAAACCTCCCTCCAGCCCTTCCCTCTTTCTGTGCCTGATGGATTAGGTGCATTAGTGGAAGCGAGGGCCTTTCTCCCGGGAGTTGTGCGGACACACATCACGCTGTCACCACCAATCCAAACAATGCGTTTGCAAACGCATGATTCTGTAAAGAAAGCTGGGAACTTCTTATCAATAAACACATCCACGCACACCAAGATTAAGTGTTCTCTGAAGCAGCAAAGGATGGATCTGCCTGCACGTCTGTTGGAGGAAATCAATCAGTTATAATAGGAGGGGGCATCAATAAGCATGATAAATGCTCTGTGAGATATGATGAAGAGATAAGCAACAAGATGAATAAAATAAATCTTTTTGTGTCGATGAAGCTGATCCAAAATGATGAAACAACTGCAGCTCTGGATTGAAGCTCTTTCAGTGGAACAAAAAACATCAAACACCCTCCCTCCCGCCCACCTCCCCTGTTTCTCTCTCTGCCCACCCTCACCCGTGCAGAGGATCCACCACAATGGCACGAGGATGAGTCATTTTCCCCTCAATGAGTGTTTTGCGGGTCTGGGAGGCCTTTTCCAGCCGAGCTACGCTGATGGTCTTCTTGGGTCCGTCATCCGTCCAGTACAAGTTGTTTCCCATCCAGTCCACAGCTATACCTTCCACTGTGTGGATCCCTGAACCAGACAGGAAGGTTGATTGTTATATGACATGCTATTTACAATCTAGTTTAAACAATCTTTTCTTTTTCTGCTGGTGCATTTTTGTTCTTTTTTTTTTAACAAATCACTGATTTGTTACAAACGTGGGTTCTACTTTGCAAAAATGGCTGCAGAAAAAGTTGCATCTCAAATTTTTCTGTGATGTAAATTGATCTCACTGTGCTGATGCAAAATGCCTAAATTTAAATGATGGGTTTTTTGAAAGAATATCTATTTTAATGTTTTTCTTAACCACTGCCCAAACAAGAAGTATGCTATTCTTAAAAAGCAATAACATTTAAAAGATCCTGTTTACCTAAAACTGAGGAAAATTTTACTTCACAAGAATAAAGGTATTTTAATGTAAAGACATTTCCTCTATAAGCATGCCTAGCAAATTAATCTGCTGTGACTTTACCTTCTTTCAGGATTGTATCCCTCTCTGTTCCGTCGATTTTCTGTCGCCCAATGATGTAGTTTGTGGCGTCGGCAAAGTATATGAACTCACTCCCTGCGTGGAAGTCGAGAGCTCTGGGGTTCATCAGGTTCTCGATGGGGATCATGTATTCGTCTGGTACCTTGGCGTTCATGTCCATGCCCCTGATGACACCTGGGCGGCCCTTGCCATAGACCAGGAAGAGCTCATGCTCAGGCTCTGCAGCAAAACAAGACCAGCAGGGCTCAGACTAAGTCTTGTTAAGCTGAAGTTCCTGAACCAGTCATTAAAAAACATCTATTGACTAAGAGAGTTCAGATATGCAAGTTGTGCCAAATTGGAAAGATAGTAAGTTTCCCTTGGTAAAATCAATTCTTCAGTTTTAGAAGTAAGTAGGTTAATAATGATTGTAAATTAATAACAAACAGATCAACTGGATCTCATTTATCCTTCTATCAATTCTGCAACAATGCTGAGTTGAAAATAGTTGAACGTCATTCAAATGCTGAAGCAAATGTATGGCTTATAACTTCTGATCACAGCAGCTGTAGAAAATGACTCGACTGCTTCTCATCCAGCCCTACGGCAACAATTTCTTGATCTTACTTTTGCAGGACTTCCCATCACTGCCCAGACTAAATCCAGAGCGACAGCGGCACGTTCTTGTCTTATGTCCGTTCCCGAGGAGACAGAGGTCTGAGCAGCCTCCAGCCTTTCCAAACTGATCCATCTCGCAGGCATGACTGCGTACTGGAAACCAGGAGAGGGCAGAAATAAAGACGGACTGCTACAATGGATGATAAATGACAGCATATGAGAGTGTGGCGTGTGAGTGAACACCTGGAGGCTGACGTCTCTGGTGGTAAACATGCAGAGCTCCTCCTTTGTCCACTCTGGTCACTACTTGGTAGTCGGTGCTGTTAAAGCGGTTGATCCGGATCACGCTGGTTTTAGGCTGCATGTTAGCATTGTCTGAGTTGGTGGCATACAGGTAGTTCTCAAACACAGTCAACCCGTACAGATGCTCAATCTAAAAGGAAAGAAAAACACAGAGTGGGATGTGATGGCACTTAGTGAAAAAAAAGAGCTTTATTAAAGTACTAAAATTAGAATTTGATGAAAGCTGCCATTAATTCTATTTAAAACTAAATCTAAACTAATCATTTTAAATCAGCAGTTAAATCACATCAGTGTAAAAGGCTGATTAGGGTTAAAAGACAGATTCACATAGTCTTCTAGACTGGTTTGTAGAATAATGTACATTCAAATACATGTTTTTCTCTTGTACTGAGCTTGAAATGTAAATACTTTGATTATTTATTTAAAATATCAACTATTTTAAAGGTTGGCTAATATTCTGTTTGAGCTCTCAGGGTGTTCAATAACCTCCCTGTTTACACAGTTATCAATTTGGGATCAAATTAACACCCTAGTAGAGACTAGTTATAATTTTAGGAACCTCTGAAGGTAACTGGTTGTGTGTGTGATACGATTTAGGGGTAGAGGGGGGACTGGTCGCATGCTTTTCAGATTTTCATTTGAAGAAATTTTGGTTTTCTGTTGTTCTGTACAGTAAAATCCAAATAAAATACTTTCAAGTTTGTGTTTGTAAAGTGAAAAAATCAAACGAGCTTTAGTTAGTATTGTTTTCTAAGCTACTATATGTTCCTTTCCTAAACGGAAGGAATGAAAAAAGCGTAAAACATGAGAGCAAAAGCTTTGAGAATCACTGTGCATCAGCAGCGCTGCTACATTAAACAGCACTGGACACATTTATCCAGCTTACTTAATGAAAAAGCAAATGTCCAACAGCTACTCTCAGCTTGCAGTTTACTTGCCAAGAACACATTACAGGAGTTCTCAGGGGTAACATTGAATGTATTTAAGGCATACGGGGAACTCTAAAGGATATTACAAAGCTTTTCAGCTCGTAATGAATAGCCAACGACTAAAGAGGGATAATCTCCTCTCACCAGTAGCCCCTGGATGATGGTGTGACGGTTCTTGCCCTCATAGTCCACCACTTCGATGTAGTCCAGGTAAGCATCAGCCCAGTACACCAGCCTGCTGACGAGGTCCAGGGTGATGCCATGGGGGAACACGATCTTAGTGTCGACTAGTTTGGTACGGTTCTGGCCATCCATGTCACAACGCTCCACCTTAGGGATCTGACCATAATCTGTGAAGAAGACCTTCCTGTAGAAACAAAGAGAGCTGAGTGAGAGAAAGCAGACTGGCAGAGAGATGGACACTGAGAGGATATAATAGGGTAGACTGCATTAAAAGAATGGTTTAGAGAGAATATAAGTACCTATTTTGGTACTTACTCCAAAAAAACAATCTGTATTTCCAATTTTATTTCCCTACTGATCTTAATGGAAGCAATATTCTGGACACTATCACTGCCTTCATAAAAAGCAGATCATGTCTAAATCCGTGTATCATTCGTTCTTTCGTTTTTCAAATTAAAACCAAAAATTAAAAATGGGAAAATGCACTTGTTGTTTAAATATTTGTTTTCGAAACAGGATCATGATTTGTTTTTTTCCTTTTTGTTTTGAAAACAAATATTGAGAAAACAAGTGAATTTCTGCATTTTTTATTTTTGGTTTTAATTTGAAAAACAAAAGAACAAATGATACACGGACTCCTCTAACTATAAATGTCACTTAAATAACCAAGGCTGAGGCATAGTAACATAAAGAACTGACTATAAGTTTCTTTATATCTTCTTCACAAGCATTTATATGATATGTGGGACTTTAAGTAATTCATTTCCTCCATTTTCTTTTCAATGTAGAAAAATGCTGCTACAACTTCAATTCAATTCATTAAACAAGTTAGAATTTTTTTTTCTTTGAAATTTTTTGTTGTGAATGTAATGTAACATGCTTCCTTTTTTATTTATTTATTTATTGTCTTCTAATGGAATTTTTATAGCAGTGTTTTTATGTGTGAATGTAGTGAGACACATACAGTAGTTGGAATACGTAGCAGCCAGAATCTGTACCCAAATCAATTTTCCTTTGGGACAATAAAGTTAATTTTATCTTATCTTAATTTATTGTGCATTCCTCAAATTTAATCAGGGTAAGATTAACACACACAGGCTCCAATATAACCATACAGCCAGGCTAATATTATTTGTTTATTATGTTTAATGCACCTCTCTCACTGCTTGGTAGACATCAATAAGGTTCGACTTTTTTTCCCTCCAAAAGCTTAAGATGAACCCGTTTCTCCCAATCCAACATTTTTAATGTATTTTTTGTAACCATTGTCCTGTAGAAAATTAAACATATTGAAGTTTGACTCATTTGGCTGTTTGTGATGAGTTGAAGGTTTTTTGCAAACATGTTTCATCTCTAGCAACAAGTTGAAATGACACCTGTGCTGTGCATGCAGATCTTGATAAAACAAATTCTACAGAACAGCACCACAGCCTGCTTCTTTGACTTAGGTTTGTTCACCAAGAACCTAGAATTCGATTGGAATCAATACAATTTCTAATTCGTAATTCTGATCGCCACTCTGCCAACAGGACAAAAACTAACAAATACCAGTAAAGATGAAATCTGCAGGACTGTGCGCGCAAACGTCTGTTTGGAACCATCTGTATGGAAGTCACTCCAAAGAAATCACATAAGCACTACCATCATGATTCATAAGGCAAAACGCATAGCCAATACACTACATTCTTAGACATTCTGCACATGTGTAGAAAGCGCTTAAAAAACTGAGCAAAAGTCCAGTTGCCTCCCAATTCAAGCCTGTTTGGTTGTTACCATTACCCAGATGACTGACAATTTACTCAGGCAACCATCTGTTGCGCTGCATCGTTTAAAAATGTAGCTCAATATTTATTAAGCACTTGATCAGTCTGCTAAGTGCAACAATTGTGATGGAGTCGTATTATGTAAAGGAAAAACGCACAGCAAACAAACCGCCTCAGCCTCGTATTTGACCTACTGCACCAGTGTTGTGCTAACCCCCCCGAACTGTAGCGACCCTTCCTTAAGCAGAGCAGAGCCTTTTTGATCCTTTCGTCCTTTTGAATTTTTTAACAGATATCTGCCTTGTTTGTTATGGGCTCTTGATAATATGAAAATCATTATAATATAGATCTACTGGACTCAGTAATAATGTAAAGGGCAACTATATTCATTGCTTATTTTATTTCATTTGGGATCTGTTTTATATGATGATATCCACCGACTGAGCGACGGAGTATAAAATCCCATTGCTCCTCTATCCACAAAATTAAAACATCATTACTTCCTACTGTAGTACAGTTGAGTGCAACTGAGTGGAACTGAGGTAAAGTGAACGTTACGCAGGCTATAAATTCTGTGGGGATAAATACTTTAGTACACCTGTTGCACTGCATTATTATTCAGCTCCTAGCACAGAACCACAATCAGAATCAGTTCAGTAAAATAACAAAAATCAATCAATCAATCAATCTTTATTTCAGACACAAAAGAGGTCCATAGTAAAAACAAAAGAAAACAAAAGAAAAAGAAAACAAAAAGAAGCATGACAGTCACTGAGCCACAAAAAAAGATGTCATGGTTTTGGTTCTGTTTTTTCTTTTTTCTTTTTGAGTTTTCATTGGTTTCATTTCCATTTTGTGTTCTTCTAGATGTTTTTGGTTATGGTGGGATTTTTTGATTTGTTGTGAAATCCTTTTTTCCTTTTTTTTTTGAGTTTTTACAGCACTATGGGATGTGTGTGCTAACCCCCGCGCCACCAAAGCCCGCCTGTGAAATCCTTTTTTCCACGTCCACAAACTCAGATTCACCTATTCGTTTAGCCTGACTGATTAACTAACAGGAATGATAGAGTGCTGGGTTAGAAACAACTGAGTTGGAGATACACACATTCACAATCAAAAAAACCAAACATGTCAAGTAACTAAGTTACTAGTTAATGTACTTAAGTAGCTTTTTTGGCTTTTTTTTGGCATCCGTAATTGGGCCTTTTGTTCCTTTTTTCGTTTAACTTACTAAATTTAAATACAAAAATATATACTATTACTATACTTTACTATTTTCTTTATCAAAACTGGGTCGCTACTTCTATACATACTGTTAAAGAAATGATGTAACAGGTGCAGAAAAATTGGGAAAATCTAGTTTCTTTGCATAGAACTTTCTTTTTGTTTAGAATTTTTTGAAGATATTTTTTATGGTTAAAGGCAAACATTTCTTTTTACTTTTATACTTAATCACAATGATAAACCTTTACTTTTTTAACTTTTACTTAAGTAAAATAGTTTAATCAGTACTTTTAATTTTACCGGAAGTTTTATTTTACACGGGTATCTTTATTTCTAAGTAAATCATGCTAGTACTTTTTCACACCGCTGCTCAAAACCTACAGTCTGAGAATCATTGCTTAGACAGAAGATCATCTGAAAGCAGCCTCTACCGCCTCCCCCTAGCCAATTCTTCATATGGTGTTTCAGAACTAGTCATGACAAACAGCAACTCAGGCAAACCTTGAATAGAATAAAATCTCTTTAAAAGCTTTTTTTGCATAAAAAGAAGAGCAGCACTGACCCCATGGTTGGATCCAGAGCAATGCCTTTAGGATTGTACAGCTCCTGGTCTAGGAGGGTTACGCAGGTCTGCCCATCTTTGTCACATACAAAGATTCTGTCATCCACATCGTCCACAAAGTAGAAGTTTCCGGTGAGCCAGTCAATGGCCATCTGTTCAACATCTGAAATAAAAAAAGGGGACATTAAAGGACAAAACATCAATCAGTGTTTAACCCTCACAGGAGTTATCAGTTGGCCAAAATTAGTCCAGAAGCACACCGTAGACTCATTTAGAATGTCACATCTAAAGCACTAAAGGCTTAAGCTGTCTTGTTAATTTCAGTGTTCATGGTGAATCACTAAGGAGCATCCGCTGCAGGTCCAGCAGGTTCTGCAACAGCTTTTCATCAGACTGTTGAACTTTTGAACTCTAAACTGGACTCAGCATCACACTTGCCACATTATACCAATGCCAAACTTTTATAATCCTTTTAAATAAGTCACATCTCAATGTTCTACTGCATTTTGCACAATACTTATTTTACACTGCACTGAACTTTTTTATATTAATGCACTATTTTAAACTGATTTCTTTTTCTCCTATATTGTTGCATTTTGATCATTGCTGCACTTTATATTGGTAATGTTTATCTTACTCTAGCTGCAATAATTACACTGCTATGAGCTGTATGCAACACAATCGCGTTTTTGTATACACTCTGTCCATAGAAAATGACAATAAAGTTTGTGTAAGTTTAAAGACTAGGCAAAGATAGCATATATGGATGAGGGTTTTGTCCAGGAACCCAGAGTGCAGGCTGTGGGGATCAAACCGGGTACTTGCAACCTTCTCAGAAGACAAGCGCACTGCTCTAACCACTAGGCCAACACTCCCCATAAACTAGAAAACACATATGTTCCATGGAATTACTCTTAAATATCCCACACTTGCCTAGCAGTATTAACTGTACCAGGTATTAAACTGTATTAATAAGACTTTGATTCACTGTGAACTGTTTTTAAAAAGCAACCAAAGAACAGAAACAAAATCTCAAGTGTACCTTGAGTAAAATCCGAGCCTTACCGCTTCTTTTCTGCAAGTTTATTGATATAAATTAAATAAATCTTTGTTGTCATTGTCATGACTGCAAGGTACAATGCAATTTAAAATGCTGTTTATGGTCAAGATTTTACTCCAACTAAAAAAGCTAATAGCATTAAAAGAAGGATTGAAAGGGGCCTGGTAAAATATTTAGATTTTTCTTAAAAAAGGCAAACAAAGAAACTTACCAAGAAACTTTCAGGGTCTTAAACTGAAATATGACTTTGAAAAAAAAAGATTTCTTCCGTTTTCTAGAAATTCAGCACTATTTAGAAAAAAACAAAGAGGGACCAGACAGTTGTTGATAATTTGAATATTTATCTAAATTTATACGAATCAGCCTCCATTAACATATTAACATCCAAACTGTATGAGTTTCAAAAACTGGAAGGTAGGGATACATTATATATTAAGAAGAAATGGGAAGGCAAACGTAAGATCCACATGGATGACTGGTTCAATATTTCGCTTTGAACTCAGAGAATATGTTCTTTGGCAAACAGGATATTGTGTGATGAGGTTGTGTTAGACATATATGCTTTATTTAATGCTAAATGCCTGTGAAAAAGCAAAAAGAAAGCTGGAATACTGGATTCATGGTCTTCAGTACATTTTCCACATGAAAGAACTGACATTTGTACTAAAGCTGGAACAAGACAGATTTGAAAAATGTTGGTCGCCATGGTTGACCTTCATGAACACTATATATGAAACTGATGAAAACGAGGTGACTCCCACAGCTCCCTCGCTACTCTGTTTCATTTTCTTTCATTGTATTAAAACATTGCTTCAATATGTTGATTTTTCTTTTTTCCTATGCTTTTTTCTTTCCTCTTGTTGGCAGTTTCTCTCTATTTTCTAAGAAAATAGAGAGATAGAACGGAGAAGGTAAGTAGTAGAGAGGAGGGATAAAGGGGTTAAAAATAAGAAAGAGGAGAGTAAGAAGAGGGTAGAGAGGAGCAGAAAGGAAAAGAAAAGGGGAAAAAGAGGGAGTCAGGGAGAGATTACAGGCAGTAGAAAGAAAACAAGGGGAGAAAAGGGAAGTCAGAAAAGAAGAGAACAGGATATTGGATGTTTAACAGTCCTATTGAAAGGTGGAATATTTACACTGTCCAAACTAACTGATGAGAGGCTTGATGGAGTTCAGTATACACACTCTGAACATATTAAACACTCTCTTGATGGTATTCCTAAAACAAGTTTTAAATTAAACAAAACGCTGTTAAAAAACTGTAATGAATATAAACAGTAGAATAGCAAAAGAAAAGATTATAAAAAGACTTAAGGCATTTTCACTGTGAGTTTAGGACAACTATGGCCATACCTAAAGCCCAGTGATGGCTTCTGGGGCAGATAGTCCTGGTTTGCATTGTTCCGCATTTCCAAATGTATGACTGTGTATTCATTCATAATAGAAAATTTCCCTCAGAGTCAAAAAAATAAGAAAATCCTGCAGGGCTGAGGGTGGAAAAGAAATACTGCGGTTTGTATTAAAAGGTCATGGAAATGACTCATAAACGTTGTGTTTCCTCTTCTACGACAAGTCAGCTGTGGCGATCCAGCACAACAGCAGCACTGGGTCAGAGTTCCAATTCGAGCTGATCTCACTGGTACCCCATTGAGGAAAGATCCTGAGACCTCAACATAACACAACATTTCATAGACAAGAGTACCCTGTGAAAATAGGGTACTGCCTGAAGGGACGGAGAACCACCGGTTGGGTCTTTAACCAAATAAATATCCCAACAGACATTAGGTATGATAAGAGGTAACACTAGAGTACCAGCAGCATTCACACAGTTGTGTCTCTTCTGCCATTGAAGCTTATTTGTCAACATTGTAGAAAATCACAAATATCCTTATCATTCCTGGTTGAAGCACTGCTTGAAGAAAGACACCTCTGATTTGTTAATAGAGCAGGCACAGTTATCCAGGCACAGTGATTACACTGGGATTTATCAGCCTACTGTACCTGGAATGTCTATACTTGTTTGGAGAGGTATGTCTTACCCACAGTCACCCATTCCTTACAATATCAATGACTGTATAATCTACATTAGTCAGCTATGTATTGATAATAGATCAGTTCATTCAAATAAAGTGAGAGGATAGAATCCGGTGAGATCCTTCACAAAAGTAAGAATATAAGACAGTCTCTGTTTTCAGCAGTAGATTCATACAGTACTCCTTATCAGCTTAACATACATCAGCACTTTTTTTTTGGTAATACATTTATATTGGGCTTTTTTCTGGCACTAGTTTGTTCCTTTCTAATGGCTCCCCTGGGTAACCACCCATACAAGAAAAAAATAAGTGGGTGAAAACTATACTTTTGGAACAGAAAAGAATTTGGGAGTGCAAGAAAAATGTTGGAAGGAGGGTTTAACAAGCCACAAGGACTCATATTTTCACAGCTGCTGCCAGCTCCACTCTCCACAGAGCGATCCTGACACACAAACACTTGAGGTTGCAGTCATACTCCTCAGGCCTTTGTGTTTGTGCAGAGCTCAGTGCTGAGGATGGTGGTCCAACACGGCGGTTTCTTTTCCAGGCTGATCCTGTCCCTGTGGTGTTTTAGTGGAGACCAGAGAATCCATTTCTCCGACCAGAGAAGAAACACATTATGGCAGGAAATGATGGAGCACATTTCTAAGTGCAAGAGTTTGAATAAAAGTGGACATTATAGACCAATAAAACTGAGAGTATATCCAGTGGAGCTCTCTGTATCTGAGAAAAAACTCAATTTGGGTATTTTGGGTTCAAGTAAAGTTACCCTTAAAGTATAAAGGAAGAAAAACAGGTGAAAAGGTGAGAAAAGCGGGGAGGGAAACATTTGTATCTGAACTTGGAAACTTGGCCATTGTGCAATAACATTTCTGAGGTTTATGGGAATCTGGGAACTGATTGCAAAGCTGTTCTGAGTTTTTAACTCACATTTTTCAGCTTAAACGATTCCAGGTGTTCAACAACACACACTGGCCGATTAAGTGACAAAAAAACAAAGCTGAGGAGGAGAAAAAGGGAGTGTGCTCGGTCTGTTTAGATTATTTGCCTTCTTGGGCGCAAACCTGCACTTCTGCTGAGTTTGACAACAAAAATGTCCGGAGCAAATTAGGAATCTTCTCTATCACCTCCCATTCTTTTTCCTCTCCTGCTTGCTGCATCATCCTTTCCCTTTCATCTGCTCCCTAGAGGAAGGGATAGAGTCTGGATTCATTAGGCCCAGCTCTGTCTGTCTAAAACTATCCTATAAAGAAGGCATTGCGTAATTAAACAAAATACAGAACAGATTTTTTTTTGGCCTCATCCCTCTGTACTGTCTTATAGAAGAAAAACAAAAATCCGTATCCAGGTTACTTATCACACAACTGTAGTCTAAGGAAAAATAGAAGTAAACAAATGTGAAGGCGTGTAATGATGTCTTACATCCTAAACTTCAATCCATTTGATTGAAGTTAATGTTTCTGTGATACTATTAAACTATCAGGACTGATTATTTAATAAAATCTTGACTGAACACAAACTAAAAACCTGTATAGAGTCAAATGGGAGGGAAGGTTAACTGGATATGAGTATAAAAACCAAACCGAAGAGTAAAAATCTACAAAAAGGAAAGTAGGCAAGAAGAGCCGACTTAAGGCTAACCACAGTGTTGGAGGGGAAAAAGGATTTGAAAATATTCTGTCTGGCTTAGCTTTTAAGTTCACACCACCTTAACAGGAGATCAATGTCTGTCCTAAGCAGCCAGCTCGGTGTGTGAGGGCAGAAGTGGAGCTCTGTGACAGCACCAGCAAGAAGAGAGGGCCGCTCTGAGATCAGCCCTCAGGTAATGTGGATTGAGCAAAGCCAAAGGCCAGAATCTGATTTTGTGTCCGATCTGACAGAAAACCGTGTCTGATGAGGTTGTGCTCTTTAGCTCCCATTGAAAGTCAATGGGGATGATCACATCCGGCCCGATTTCACGAACGGGGGCTTGCCTAACTCCGACTGAGATAGGCCCCGTGTCTTCTTTAGGCAGACTACGAAGCGATTCAGCTGCCTTTTCATGGGTGATAGGAAGACAGACGCGGTTACAAAGTA